TCACCGAATAGTAGCAATACTTATTGGAACTCATAAGATCAACTAAGAAAAACATTCAGTAGCCATTGCTTTCATCACTTTTGCATTGACCACCTTCAGTACGTTCAAATGTGAATGAATCGTTCGGATTCCTTATTTGCTCCAAAATCGGTGGATTTCGCATTATGACCACCAAAATTCTTTAATCCTAGCATTCTTTATTACTCATTACACTTCTTATCAAAATTACAGCATATATGATAGAATAGTATATTAGTACAATAAATTGTGAAACTTGTACAATAAATTTATATTCGATCGGATGATGAAAGCGTTTCACCTAATAAGAGCATCTACAATCTACAATAATTATGTTTTTCTAGTGGGATGTTCAATGCCCAAAGTAAGAGGTCCATGCAGGAACTACACGGTGAAATGGTTCTACGATATGGAATATGGTGGCTGCTCAAGATTCTGGTATGGTGGATGTGATGGAAACGACAACAGATTCAAGTCCAAGGAAGAGTGTGAAGAAATTTGTGTTGAACCTCAAGGAACAGGTATGTGATGCAAAGATTTCTTTTAGCACATTCATATAAAATTTGCAGTCTCAGTGATTATCACTTCTAGGTATAAATTCAAAACAAATAATAAAGAATATCGTATAACATTGTCAGTTCTACTCTAAAGTCTTCGATGAGAAAATAAACTTGTATGCGCTAAGTTGTGTTGGTGGTGATGAGGCTGTAATCAAATTCTCTGTAAACTGTCTTGAAAATGGAACTCAATTTCATAACATCGCATATCACCCGCATACCTTTAGGAGTGATGACATCAAGCTCTCCCATTGTTTCGGTATAGATGACATACAGATATTGATAAATAAGCAAATATTCTGTAAATCACAACCTCAGCATGAACTCAGAAAAATCTAAGATTTCACTGTTTTGTTCTGAGAGCAAGAGAAACCACGTTGTTTCGTGCTTGAATGTGAATAATAACCACAACCAGAAGCTCCAGCTCACCAAAAGTGCTGAAATATTGGGTGTAGACCTTGATCTCAAACTGATACGAGGGATGTCTTTTAAGTTTTGCATATAGAAACATAGTAGGCCGCGCGGATCGAACGTCAGTACTGAATCTTAACATCACTCTTTAGTAAACTTAAATTCAAAGTTTCACAACAATACGTGCAGTGTTATCACTACAGTGAATTTTTAAGTGTCACCAAGTCATTAGAAAAATGGAACTCAACCGAGAACATTTTCGCGCCATAATTTATTACAACTCTCAGAGACAATTATTATCGCAACAAGAATGCCTTGCTGAGTTACTGTCGACAGTCGACAATTTCCCGTTGGTATGGAGAATTCAAACGTGTACGGGTGAGTCATAGTGACGATCCCAGGGCGGGTGCACCAAAAACGGCAGTCACCCAGGATAACGTCGATGCTGTGCGCAAACTCATCACTGAAGATAGACATGTGACATCGCGAGATTGAGGCGTCCTTGAAGATCTCAAAGACCTCATTCAAAAAATTTACATGAAGAATTAAGAGTAAGAAAATTAGTTTCTAGTTGGATACCCCACCTGTGGACTGAAGAGCAGAAAGCAGCCAGGGTTAATTGGTGTCAAAAAACGCTTGACCGTTTCAATTCCGGAAACTCAAAAAATGTGTGCAGCATGGTTAGTGGTGATAAATCGTGGATTTTCTGTTATGAACCAGAAAATAAACGACAGTCGGCTGGTTGGGTGTTCCAAGGTGAAGAAAAGCCAACAAAAGTCATCCATTCTCGAAGTGTTTCGAAAAAGATGGTCGCGACATTTGTGTCAAAAGCGGGCCATATTGCAACAATTCCTCTTAATGAGTAAAGAACTGTTACTGCGGATTGGTATACCACCATTTGTTTGCCAAAAGTCATCACCGAGCTTCGAAACAGCCCAAAAGACAAGGCAGTATTTAACGGAAGAAAACGTGGAATTATTGGACCATCCTCCATATAGTCCCGATCTAAGTCCTAACGATTTCTTTACTTTCCCGAAAATTAAAAACAGACTGCGTGGTCAAAGGTTCCGGTCACCAGAAGAAGCAGTTGACGCATCCAAAAATGCCGTTTTGGATCTGCCAGCAAACGAGTGGAATAAGTACTTCGAAAATTGGCTCGAGCGCATGCACATGTGTATTAATCTTCGTGGAGAATACTTCGAAAAACAATAAAGTCATTTAAAACTACCTACCGTGTTGTTTTATTTCCATATGCAAAACTTAAAAGACATCCCTCGTATTTACTGAGCATGTAAAACATCTGACGCGATAAATATATGCACGTTTACGCAGCCTTTATTCAAACAGATATCTGCTGAACTTCAAAATGAGGAAGATACTTTGCGAGACCTTGATCTATTATAGTATCCTACATTTTCCTTGTTTGGATCAGGTCACTAAGCATGTTCGACAATATACCATAAGTATGCAGAGTTGAGATGGATAAAGTTTGATGAGCTGGCCAAGCTACATTTTTCTTCATTTATTCACGAAATGTTTAACTAATTTCAAGCCAGAGTACCTATGTGAAAAAAAGTTTGAATAGCACTATACACGATAGAACTATTAAGAACATGCACGTTATCAGAATTCCAAGGCATACAACTTTGTTCCAACGAAGTTTAGTGCAGTAACATTTATGTAATTATTTGGACAGAAGATTCAAAACCATGACCTTACTACTACTATAACGTTGAGTTTTTTAACGCTTAACTTTTCCCTTAATAATTCATACAAATTTGTTTAGAGTAGCATGTAGCATAGTAGTATGGGCACATAAGACTTTAAATTTTTCACTCCTCATATGGGTTATAAGTGATTTTCCCAAAATCATTTTAATTTTTTCCTGGCTTTTATTTGTAGTGGAATTTCAAAATAAATTGCACTACTTTGTCTCTTCTACGGGATGGCATAATTAGAATTACAATATGACGCTTTATCTCTTGTCCTCCACCGTCAACTTTTTTTTTATAGACATTATATTGGATTTTTATACAGATTAATAGAGTTTTTCATTCTGATTTCAAAAATATACAGGGTGACTTTGAAGTTGAGTCATTAATTTTCAGATAATGATTGTAGAAGGAAGATAAACCAAAATGTGTGTGTAAAAATAAAAAAAAATGTTACCTTGTTTTATAAAGTATCCTCCCGACAAGTATTTCAGTGCGGACCTGTATTTGATCGTGCGGTCTTGGAGCACAGGCATGCCCTCCCCTGTGAGGTCTTAAGTCACCTGATTCACGAGCCCTTTGTACTACATTAACAAAGGCACAAGGGGTTGGTTGCACTCGATTGGGAAACCGATCCGCATAAATCCGTGATGCCGCGGCAGCATTTTGTAAAGACTCCCACCCGTAAATAAGAATCATGTCCACAAGTTCAGCATTTTCGTAAACATGTGCCATTTTTTATTTCGTTTGAGCCACGCAACAAACACCACTATTCACTCACGCGTTACCGACTGACACATTGACTGAATACAACTGAATAAAATTGTAGTGAAAACATCGTGATAAGCGTTTCAAATTCTTTCGCTTTTTTGTTTCCGATGCGATGAACCGATAAGGCGGATTATATCTGCTGTTGCCAAACACGAGCACATAATATTATTATTGAGACAGGGCGGTACTCAAACTTCTAAAGGGCTATAACTTTGTTACTTTAATTTTACCAGAAAAATGTTAAAGGAAAAAAACATTTCTTTTGAACAGATCTACTCACTGTTAAAATAAATGACTCAACTTCGAAGTCTCCCTGTATAATATGTGAATGTCATACATTGACATTGCTTAACCTCAGTTATTCCAGAAAAACAATAGTTCCTAGGTAGGCCTTGAAATTATCAGATTTCATTTGTTTCGTATACCAGATCAGAGCTCAAATTGAAGATAGCAACAGAGTTTGGAAGACTGGGAAGAAGAGGAATAGATCGGGCAGTGAACAAAGTTCAGAGAAGGATCAGGTTTTGCCTACAAAATATCGGACAACATTTTGAAGATCTTCTATGATTTACCTCTGCCTATTTATAATTATTCTTATTACCATCATTCAAATTTTCATTTTGCGCTCAGGTTTCACGATACCTTTTCATTTCCTTTTAATTTTTATTCAACAAAAAATTCATGAGCAAATAAGTAAATACATCACTGAATTAGGACTGAAAAGTCCATTTAAATGTACAAAATTCCGATATAGCGTCCATATGAAAAAACAAAGTTGGTGATGGAAGTCAAAAGAAGAAATGTCGAATTGAACATTTCACTATGCCATCTTGTAGAGGAGAAGAAGTGGCAATGTTAACATGCTATTTATTTTGGAATCCCATCTCAAATAAAGTCTGGAAAATAAAAGTGATTTTGGGATACATCTGGTATACTAAATAAATAACTATCTGATAATTTCAAGTCCTACCTAGGAAATTCTGCTTTTCTTGAAATAACTTAAGTTTGGCAATGTCAATGTATGACATATTATACAATGTTCGAACCAGAATCAAAAAATGTATTCATCTGCAAAATTCCAATATGGCGTCTATAAGAAAAAATAAAGTTGATGCTGGTGGACAAGAGACGAAACGTCATATTGAAATTCTAATTATGCCGTTTTGTAGACGAGAAAAGGTGGCAATGTTAATGTGTAATTTATTTTGGAATCCCACTACAAATAAAGCGAGGAAAAAACTATTTTCGGAAAATTCGGTTTTTTCCATGTCTCTCTAGAAGTACTTTGACTTTCTAAGCGGTATTTTGTTAATTACCTAAATACGCAACTTTTCCCCCATCTAGGCGACTTCGTATCTCTTGCAGTTTCCGAGCTCCCAATGGGGACGGTTGAATCTGAAATGCCCTGTATATTATTTAATAAAGACGTTTATTACTATTATTCTTAATTACTTAAAATTACTACATAAGTCTTAAAACAACCTGTAAACTGCTTAAATATTGACTTTGTGGTCATTAGGCTTGAATTTTAATGAAAGAGCTTTCAACCCTTTTTTCTTTTATAGATAAGTGCAACCTACCAAAGGTCGCAGGACCATGTGAAGGATACTACCCGCAATGGTTTTATGACAAAGACAGCAAACATTGCTCACAATTCATTTATGGTGGTTGTCTGGGTAACAACAACCGGTTTGAGACACGAGAAGAATGTGCCTCGACATGTGTCAAGGACGACAGTGTAGGTGAGGAACGTTTTCATTTCACTTTATATGAGGATGAAGCCTCGAGAGCTCAAAATATCTAAAGTGTAAGAAATAGCAGCATTTTTTCTTGCTTCCTTACAGCTCTTGATTAAAATTGGAAATATCAGGAATTAATACTTAGACTTTTTTTTAAATGTGTCAGGAAGAATATTAGCAAAAAGGTTTGTTCCTACAGTGGTCGGTGACTGTGTCTTCGATCCGGCCGTGTGAATTCCGTCTATAGAGAGTGCGGTATCTTGGATACTATCACTGACAGGTTGGCGACTGCTGCACGAACAGCGCCTAAAAGTTACATATTGTCATATGAGAATCAATTTTCGCGATTCGTAGCAATTGAAACATTAATATTTTTTTTCAATCTCACACAGATGCATGTGAACAGAAAAAAGAAGAAGGCCCATGCAGAGGAGAATACGCAAGGTATTACTTTGACAAAGAATCCCAACAATGTCTGCCATTCTTGTATGGTGGATGTAAGGGCAACAATAACAACTTCCTGGCAATAGAAGCTTGCAAACAAAAATGCTTGGCGCCAGGTCGAAAGAAGGGTAAGTCAGCCTAGAATGCTTGAGGTGATAGTAGTATTTAGTGCATGTACGATACAATTTTCAAACGTATGGAGTGAAGAAGCTGGTATAGTTGTATAGATACAACATTTTATATACTATTGTTAACAAATTAACGGTGAAGGTGCATCTTTACGGAGGAGATTTTTTAGTATTTGGCTTTACACAGTGAGTAACTATTATATTTGACTACGGACTGCCTCGTCTTGTTGGTTGTGTCCACTTTACACAAGGTTTTTCGATAAAATGAAGCAAGTTATGTGTGAACAATCAATGTTTTGTAACTAATAGACCCTGTAGTCTAGCTTTTAGCTAATAGACCCTATGAATTTGAGTGATGGCCTTAGTTATGTTGACTTTAAGGGATTCAATGGATTACGGATCATTGACACAGATCTGTAAGAAGGCCCTCAAGAAACAATCGAATATAACAAAAACGCACGACTAGAAAGCCTATCCACAACACATATGTGAGAAATAACCCTACATTCAATGCATCCATGCAGAATGTCCATCATCGTGAAGACCTTTGTACTGTTGGAATCACATGACGTCTACGTCATATCGTTCAAAGAATGGTAAAGGAATTGGTTATTGAAAAATACTGACTAATGAAGACATCGCCATCGGCTCAAAATCGGCATCAAAATACTTTTTGTGGATGCATTGTTAACTGTTAACGATACCCTTAAGGTCAACATCTCATGGCATGGCTCAAATTCATCCGGATCTATGTGAGAGAATAATTGAAAATTGAACTTGCCTTGATCGATGTTACAGAACTGTCAAAAATATTATTGTTAATACCACCACACAATCCGTTGTTTTTATATTGGATCACTAATACAGGGTGGCGCAGAGGAAACGCATGATTTTCACGTAAGCATAACATTTTTTATGTTTAAGATAATTTTATTTTAACTACAGCTAAATAAAGTAATAATAGTGCACTTTTAAATTAATTATGGTAAATTATGTCACCCAAGTGTCGTCCTTCTTCGCGCTCGCACATCTCCAACCGCTCTTGAAAATTGTGCTTTACACGTAGGATCATTTCTTATGGCATTCTTCCGAGCTCTTGACGAATAGCAATTTTCAGTTCCTCTAACGTACGAGGTTTGTGAGGGTACACTTTAGCCTTAAGGTAACCCCACAAAAAAAGTCACATGCAGACAAATCTGGGGAACGTGGAAACCAAGGAACATCGCCGAAACGGGAAATCACATGTTCAGGAAACATTTGTCGAACACATTCCATTGATGCTCTCGCTGTGTGAGCTGGGGCACCGTCTTGTTGGAAGTACAGTTCTCCCAAGTTTACTTGTTTCCGTTGAAGTTTGGGTAACAGAAAATTTTGTAACATGTGAACATAACGTCCTCAAAAAAGTAAGGACCAATGATACCTAATTTACTAATTCCGCACCACACAGTCAATTTTTCACTATGCAAGGGTCGTTGGTGTAGCTCTCGTGGATTTTTGGTCGCCCAATACCTACAGGTATAGTTCTGCTTGTTTACAGATCCCGTTAAATGGAAATGTGCTTCGTCACTCATCATTATGACGGCGTTAGGATCATCAGCAAAAATGGTCAGCATTCTCGCACAAAACTGTCTACACTGTGCAAAATCACTTTCAGTTAGCTTTTGCACAATCATTATCTTAAAGGGATGAAATTGTAAATCGTACAGAATGCGTTGTAACGATCGACGGGACATACGCTGAGCTGGAGCTTGTCGCCTAGTGGACAGTTGAGGACTATCAAAGACCACTCTTCTCACTATTTCGATATTCCCTTGTGTTCGAACGGAACGGGTAAGGCCAGGTGGCTTCTTCTTCATTACAGATCCAGAAGTTCGAAATGCCTCAACCCATCGGAGGTATCGTATTTCGATCTGGAATTGACCCTTGGCGTTCAACATTGAATTGGCGACGGAATAAACGTTGCACGGTAACTACAGAATCATTGTTTCGGTAAAATTGCTCGACGGCAAACACACGATGCTGAGTTGTCCACGGTGCCATGGCTAAACCTGTATTGCCTGTGTTCTCTGCTGGCGGTGAGGCAAGGTCAACCCGCTTCTCTTTGCGAAATACTATTCACTCAGAAAACATGCGTTTCCTCTGCGCCACCCTGTATACGTATAATGCAAAAATTTTAAAATGGAATTTCTTGATTTAACTCATACCCTTTCAATGAAAAGGAATTTTATTATTTAAAAGGAAGATAAAAATCTTTATCGATTATCCAACCAACTGCGATTTTCTATCCGTTCAGCTAAATGTTTAACTTCAAGCGCACGTGAATGTGAAAGTTTTTTATTAACACAATGATACTGATGGCACTCCACGAAATGAAATCAAGCATGCATCTAAATACTATGTAGTCAGCACGTATAATTAACTGCTTGCTTTTGTTAGATCATTGCTCGTTGCCAAGGGCTCAGGGTAATTGCACAGATAGGTTGTCTAGATGGTACTACGATACCCCTGAAAAACGCTGCGTGCCATTCTACTACACTCGGTGCAATGGTAACCAAAATAACTTTGAGACTAAGGATGCATGCGAAAAAGATTGTCCACCAGAGGTTGGTAAGTAGAAAATGTTGCAAATGACACTGCATGAACATCTTAGTTGTATGATCATACCTTTAACCATAAGATTTTTTTATAATCAATCGCCCCCATGATAGTTGAGTGAGACATCGAAAATTCCTGGGTTGAACAAAGAGACGCATGCGAAACCGGAAAATTAAAATAACGTTTTGCATTATGACTTAAATCGTCGGTCGCGCTCCTCGAAGAATGCATAGACTGACTAGTCAAGTTGTGAAAAATTTATTTAGCACGTTTGGCTGCATGAACACAATAATTATGAACATCTTATAATTAGTAATTTCGAGCCATATGAAGCATATACTGGGCAAGCTATAATTGTAGATTTAACAAGTGATTCCTCAAATTTGCCTTGAATTTTGCTTAAGTATTCTGGTATTTTATCTCTGTATTCAATTTATTATATTCAATCAACCCTTGGGGGAATACAGATTTGTAGTATACCTTTGAAGTTGAGTCATTAATTTTCAGATAATGATTGTAGAAGGAATATAAACCAAAATATGTGTGTAAAAATAAAAAAAAAGTAATAAAAAAATGTTACCTTGTTTTATAAAGTATCCTCCCGACAAGTATTTCAGTGCGGACCTGTATTTGATCGTGCTGTCTTGGAGCACCGGCATGCCCTCCCCTGTGAGGTCTTAAGTCACCTGATTCACGAGCCCTTTGTACTACATTAACAAAGGCACGAGGCGTTGGTTGCACTCGATTGAGAAACCGATCCGCATAAATCCGTGATGCCGCGTAAATAAGAATCATGTGCCATTTTTGATTTCGTTTGAGCCACGCAACAGACACCACTATTCACTCACGCGTTACCGACTGACACTGACTGTATACAACTGAATAAAATAATTGTAAAAACATCGTTCCAAATTCTTTCGCTTTTTTGTTTCCGATGTGATAAACCGATAAGGCGGATTATATCCGTTGTTGCCAAACACGAGCTCATAATATTATTATTGAGACAGGGCGGTACTCAAACTTTCAAATGGCTATAACTTTGTTACTTTAATTTTACCAGAAAAATGGTAAAGGAAAAAAACATTTCTTTTGATCAGATCTACTCACTGTTAAAATAAATGACTCAACTTCGAAGTCACCCTGTGTATTATACTTTTTGGACATTCAGTGGTACTCATCTTTATTTCTGGTATTCTGTAAATGATGTTCGGCATTTGATGACCTTAATTTAGTTAGAAAATGTTGAAATATATTATTATTTACTTTATAAATGAATATCATTACAAGTTATTTGATACAATTTTTCACATTGGGCCATTTTAATTTGTCTAATTGGGGTATATTTATCTTTATTCAGTATTATTCTCATAAACTTGTCTTGTAAAATTTGCAGTCTTTGAAAAATGGAATTATTAGCTTAATATGAAATAGTCGTATAAGAAATTTGGAAGAATGTTACCTAGTATTATAAATAATGTTTCTACTAATATCAACTCACTGCCAATTTTTTCATAATATATATCAAAATTTATTTGAGAATCAACCACAAGATATTTAGAGTTTTCTATGAATCCAATACCTTCACCATCAATAACTAGTTGAACATTTGTGGTTTTTTTCTAATTAACACGGCCTTAGTTTTACTTGTATTTAGTTTGAGTTAGTTAGATGCCAAGCATTTTGAAACAAGTTTCAAGTCTTCATTTATATGAGATACCAGTCTGAATATTTTGAGTACGTATAAATTAAAAATGGAATGGATTTTGTAAAATAAAATCATGCTAAAATACGTATTAGCTTTAGAGGAATGCTTGGAGCTTCAATTTACGTATTCGATAACATCAAATAAAATCATTTATTCGGTATGGGTGAGAGAATTAAAAAAAATTACGAGACGGAAAGTTTTGCACTTATCGCATTTATAACGTTGAAAAAATATATATCAATACGTGGAAATTCTCTACTTTTTACATTATCGTGGAATAATCAATTGAATCATTTTTCTTTGGCTTAAAATTTTTCCCATATTTATGATTTTTTGTACCATTTGATTCGATGAGGACGTTATTCTTTTTGAGCAACAAGAATAAATAGAATCAACTTCCCGTGGTATAAATCAATTATATAAGTTTGAAGTTTTCTTCTCAAATACCAAGTTTTCTGCAATGAAGATTACTCAATTTACACCAACAAAGCTAATTAATCAAAAACATGTATGTTCATAGTGAAAGACACGTGCCAGCTAGCAGCGGAAGTTGGAGAATGCGCTAACTATGTGGACCGTTGGTACTACGACACCAGAGAACGAGCTTGCAGGCAGTTCTACTACGGTGGATGTGGAGGAAATGACAACAACTTCCAGACTGAGCAACAATGCAAAGCTAGATGTAGTGAAAAAGCTCCAGAACCACCAAGGTCCCAGCAACCTAGTCCTCAGCAGCCTTTCAGCCAAGGTAGTTACAAGTTCTTTAATTTGGTAAACCTGTCAGTGATAAAAATGAAATAAAATTACAAGATTCATTCAAACGCATAACCGATTGGTCATTGGTTCCAGCTAGTGAGTGTTCAAATTACTGAGGAAGCAGTATAGCGAATCTACGTTTTGTCAACTCTACTACAGCTGCTAAGAAGAGACTGAGTTATCTTTTAAGAGTTGGGGAGTAGTTTTTATCATTTAATCTGTGTACAAATCTCAGGTGAAGTACAAAAATTAGCCATCGAAGTTGCACATACCTCCTTCATCTTCTGGCTTCCCAAAATACTGAACTGCAACGTCGCATTAGCTCCTAAGGCGGTTAAGCAAGTAGTGGCGAAATGATATGGACTATAGAAGAGTAGCGTCACTCCGTCCTTAAAACAGTTTTTGGCGAGGTGTCTGAAATTACATTGTGGTATACCAAATCCTACATGCAATTAAACTGTGATGTCTGTGATATAGCAGCTAGTCAGGAGGAAGGTAAACATCCAGGAATGAAGGTCACCTGAAGGTAGTTGACCGCAGAACACTGGATTGTTTTACGTGTTGCGAAACTAGCAGGAAGTGGGATGCTAATATGTCGATGCTCCGCTAATGATGTAAAGGTGACTATTGTTATTCTAACATATTTGGAATTTGAGTCATCGTCGCTTAAGTTGTAACACCACTAAACGCAAAGAATAACTTATGTATTTGCTTAAAAACATTTGCGACTAGACAAACATGGAGGATTATAAGATCATTCGATAGCGACCCCAAAGGCCCACCGTTCTTTTATGCTCTCCTAAAAAGTTGTTAGTTTTAAGTTACATCGTGCTGGTACTCTTTTTATTGAACAACTAAATTTTTGTGATTCATGATTGGGTAGTACCAAAAAGAAGAAAATACGATACAAATTTGTTATTTAGTTTTGCATTCTGCGTCAATGATTATTGCCAAACATTTCCAAAGTAGATCGTTCAAGTATATTGCGAGAAAATAGATGTGATGTTCCATTTCTTTATTTAATTTTATACTCTTCAGTCTACATTATTCATGTTCCCTGAAAAATAAATACGAACACTCAAAAAACAAAGTGATTGTTTTCATCTAGACTGAAAAAGCTTTTAGGAAGTAAGCACACAGTTTGGAAAATCTGCTTTCTTTTCTGGTTACTAAGTTTAGCGCTCTTACTCTCATTTTCAAACTTGTGACCGAACTATAATCCATTCCAACCTCTGTTAGAATCAGTATAGTAGTTACTAATATTGCACAATATCAAGAAAACCAGAACGACAGGTGTGTGGAACGCTAAAGCACTCTATTTTTCAAACTTATTTTCCAGAAAATGCTATTTATCATATATCGTCTAGACAGAAAAAATAAATATGTATTACCCTGTATAAACTCAATTACTCTATGACAAGCCAAACTACGCATTACTCTGTTGAAATCAATAAAATTAAAAGTACGGAACCCATTAAGGTGAACCATCCGCCTGTAACCTTTCTTCCCTTTATTTGGATATCTTGGTCGCCTCCAGGCAGTAAATCATAAACTAAAAAACCTATTATATACCGGCATGTGTGTGGATATATCTATCCAGTTGAAGAGTGGATATAAAGCTGGACATACACGCTAATAATATACTTAGCAGCCTGGTTAACTAACTATTATGGATATTAAGATTCATGATTCCGCCACCATATGATCTGTATGAATATTTTGGTGAACAAATCATAATCAACTGTCTCTACCCACACTCCGTCGATACACAACGTGAATTCGTACCTAAAATCTCCCGGCGTTTGAGAAGCTTCATTCCAGCCAGGGCCTTTGATTTCTTACCTCTCGCCATACGCAATTGGTCTATAAAATGCTAAAGTTCATGATTCCTTTATTACCAACTGCAGATTTGAGAGCGGAAGGATTTGCGGCGATTTTTAAGATAATAATATATCAATTTTCCTATTTTTAAATCTTCAGGACACAGCACTTGAGAATACGAAATATACACACTCCTTAAAGTGTTTTGAAGGGTGCTCCATGTAAAATTTCGCTAAGAATTCTAGTTGCTACGCTCAAAACTCTTATTGTTATTGTAACCTGTTTATCGCATGTCCTTTCGGTAAACATTACCGTGTATGTTTAGCTTTTGCTCAGACGGCAGTAAAGGAGATGAAAAAAATAAATTATACAGGAAAAAAGAGGGACACTCTACATAAAGATACATATTAGAAAGAAGCGCGGAATTCTTTGAGCTAGGCCCACAGACCCCACGCCTCTGTTCCTATTCTGGTATGGGCACACCGGCGTATTCATGGGAGGGCTTTGGGGCTCCTCGGAGTCTACCCTCCCCAAGCGCAACAGCTCATTACGCTTCTTCTTTTTTATATTACAGCATGTTATACCTTCTGTGAAGTGCAGCTACCTGGACTAAGCGAGTCCCCCCCTCTGCTATGCAGTTTTATATCTCCAAGATATCCCTCCCCAACCCGAGACGAAATTTTCGTGTCACCCTGGATCTTGAGCCTCCCCCCAGATCTGTTTCTGGATAACATCACTGGTTGAGCAATATCTCAATCTACAGGAAACAATTACTATCGAGAAATCAACCACAACAGTGGCTCCTACAAATCATTTTTATGGGCACATTTCAAATTTCCGTCATCGGACTAAACTAGGAAGTCACAGATGAATAAAATTAACAAATCATAACTGATAATCCATAATTGTTTGTATTAGCATTGGGAGGATTTCTGGAAAAGCAAAAATTCTATATATTTGGTTTCTGTCTAAAGTGGCTGAACCTACCAGTATGTCTACAAAGTAAGAAGCATGTAGACCAGAATGCAGTTTTGTATAGACACAGAAAGTGGTTAAACTAAATACTGGTGAAATACTTTTCAGAGCTAATGAAATGAGAATTTTCAGTTTCCAAACGTAACTATGTTCGGTAGCCTAGCACTTACGGCTTGTCTATTCAATACCAAACATCCAACCTACCATATCAGAATTAATCAAACAACCTGCTTCTCCCTGAATATTGAAATTTAAACGAAAAATTATGCTTTTCACAAGCCTGGAGATATATTACAAATAAAGATGTAAAATCTGCTTTGAAAATCACACCATATTGGGAATTTAATTAAGCCTACACCTGATCAACATCAATAGCCCACCGCCACTGGAGACAACCAAGCCACGCGCCTCTATAGAATGCGGTACCTTTTATCTATAATTTATTGCTCGGACATTACCTTCCAGTATCAATCATGCTTTTTAGAGATGCAAGAGGTATGTGCAAGTTGGATGGCTTTGTACTTCGCCTAAAATACATGTCTTGGGAGGAGTAGTGTCCATATTGGTAATTTGAGTGAGAGACTGATTCTGCAAAGTTTCCTCCACAAGTTTCTGCATCTCATTGCAATTCTATCGAGCTCTATACATAAAAAATGTTGTTTATAATTATTTCTTTGATTTAGGGCTGTCAAGGACTTGAAACAATTTACCAGAAGGTGCACTCTCAGTTCTACTAAGTAGCTAGCTATCAAGAAGATCTCTTTAGCAAACAGTCGCGGCGCTGTAGTTTTAAGCTGAACCGCCAACTATGAAAAACTTATTAATGCTGATGATTACTTTCAGACATGTGCTTCTCAGAACCAGATCCTGGACAATGCGGTGGAAACTATCACAAGTTCTATTACGACAGACGAGATGGAGTATGCAAAGTATTCGTATATGGAGGTTGTGGTGGAAACAGGAATAACTTCGATACCATGGAAGAGTGTCTTACTGGTTGTGGTGCTTCACAAGGTAATAACCGGATTTAACCTAACGTTGTATTTTTGGAAGTACCTAAATACAGGATGAATTCTATTTCTATTTACTCCTCAAACACATAGCGCCTTGAGAAAGATTATGTGCACGGTGGGAGTAAAAGAATTGCCCAAAAAGTAGAATGGTAATACTTAGATTGCTGTTGATGCCATACAGTGACAAAATGAGGTATTCTTATTTTATATACCCTAGTTTTCCTAGCTTTGTTTTTATCTCCGCATTGGATGTTTCCTTTGAAATAGTCTTCAATACGATTTTTTTTGTAGATATTTGCATACTACCACCAGTTGTTGGTCAATGCGATGGAGAATACCTCCAGTACTATTATGATCCCAACAGTGACTCCTGTCAACCGTTCAACTTTGGTGGATGTGGAGGAAACTACAACAGGTTCCAAGACCAAGTTTCTTGCGAGCAAAGGTGTAAGAAGACACCACCATCAGTTGCTGTCACCTCTGCACCTCAAAGTAAGTTTTATCAAAGTAGTAAAGAACATGCATTATGTATCTCTCTTATCTGTCAACATAAGAGTAAATCTATAATTGGTATCAATTTGGTAATGAATGAATTGGTGTGTCTTTGCGCCAAGGAAGGAGCTGATCTCTCCCTCATAGAAGGGGAACCAGCCTGCCTTGCACGAAGTCTCCCGATGGGTGCTAAGCGATCATCAAAAAGAGGCAGGTCAAAGTCATGCAAAACAGTCAATCCAAGAAAATGCTAAGGAGATGAATTTTAATTAGCCATTCGTTAATCCCCTCTGTGCAAAAAAGTGCGGAGAGCTAGGAGAAACTGACAATAATTCGATTGTCTCACTCTAAATGATAGGAGCACCAGCTACTCGATAAATACGGAGGAACACAGGGGCATAATTAATAAATAAATGATTTTATTAGCAACAACAATAAAAGAACATTTTCATCAGCCTGCAAAAAATAACATGTCGCTGAAGGTCAGTTTATGGGATAGAATCTCCCACTCAACCAAAAAGGATTCGTTCGGAACTTGGAATGGTACCAATTAAGGCAGCACAAAGTGCCAACAAGATAGACCTCATAGTCTGAATAGGGTTACTCAGCTTTGTGGTTGGCCTTCTGTGGATGGATGAACGAAAACTATATTACTGGTTTGGAATGGTTCCCTGCCTTGGAACGAGAGAAAAAATATACAAAATCTCAATGCATCTATGTATATAGTAATTAACAGAAGTGGAAATATCGCAAATTTGAGAGAATTTGTATTGTATTTTTTTAAGTTATGTACTCACCGATTTTTCTAGATATTCAAGACATTTTTTGTTTCTAGTTCCAAGTGACATGACGATGTGCTACCAACCAGCCGATCAAGGCTCTTGCAATGACACTTACGTGGCATTCTTCTACGACAGCAATACGAGGACATGTTCTCCATTCACATACACTGGTTGTGGCGGTAATAGTAATCGATTCAACAGTGAAGAACAGTGTGAGAGGCAATGTGGAAACTTCAGAGGACAAGGTAACAACCGCGGATATATCTGATTTCCTTTTATATTTTACACATCTCAAGTGATCTTGTTTGACTTAATGAATTGCATCAGTAAGAAAACTCAAAATCCAAGTTAGAGAGAATTTTATATGAAGGATCTAACCACGGTTGTCCACCTAGAGGAATCTCTAGAGAACGTTAAAATTTAACAAAATTTTTAAACCAAAATTTACATTTTTATCAAAAAAACTATATCTAGTTTCACTAAATGATTAGCATCTTTTGGCAAACAAATGAGCAATTTTGACTTATCTTTACAAGTCAATGCTTGGCTTGCTGTTGCGGGGAAGACTTCCATACTGGCAAATTTCAATCTTAAACCATAGGTCTAAAGTAAGCTAAAGATGTTAGTCTACATATAACCAACAGCAGCAAGATTAACGTAAGCCGTAGGCCATAAATTTGAGGTGTAAATAGATTAGACTTAAGTGAAGTAGGAAAGGGTTAAGGCAAGCGATAAGGAGGTGAGCCCCGATCATTGTGCCTAATTGGCACACACATAATTAAAATTATCACATGGTGCTCTTATTTAAGACGTCATCAGTTGAAGAAAATAATTACGTGTTGTCAGTGTGGTGACTAAAAAGGCAGTAGAAAGAAGAAACGGGAAATCGCTTTGCAGGTAATCGTTGACAAACGTCACGGAGTTTCACTTCGTACTATTATCAGGTCTGAATATACGTCGATGGATGGAATAAGGATTTCAGGCGGTGGAACCGTTACAATTGGTCCATTATAAACAATAGTAGAGCCACGAGGTTTGTAGGTAATTTCATAAAATTATGTTTTTTCGGCAGATATTTGTAATATGGAGAGGGACCCAGGACCGTGCAGAGGCTACTTCGTAAAATATTACTATGATAAAACCACCCGCCGATGTGAACAGTTTGCTTTCGGTGGGTGCCAAGGCAACGGAAACAGATTCAGCTCGCAAGAAGAATGTGAACAAATTTGTTTGACTCATGAAGAAAGCAAACCTAACATAACTACTTCAGGTACCTTGCATTCATTTAAAAACGGTATTTAGTTGCTGTACACTACTCAACAGAATCTGAGCGCATCTATGGTAATATTTGCGTCCCACATACGAGTATTTATTACTGCTATTTAATCGTTTCATGCTTACGTGGCACTCAACTGAATGGAAAATAAAACTTTAATCACACACTAATTTAAAACATTCATTTGGCAGTCTTTCTATCAGAATTTTTTTGCGAGTTTCTTAGTGCATGTTTTGGTAGGAAAATGTTGCTTTTGGAATATATACCGTCAGTGTGAGATTATGTCGATGAAGTACGTATTTCTGTCATGTCAGAAGTATTTCAATATTTCTTTATCATGAATCATTATCGAAAGTTGCTATTTTGTTGATTCATCCAGCAATTGTACCCAAATCCAAGTACCTTGTCAACTTGAGGCAAGACAATGTTATCAAAAATCTTAGCCGGAATACCGTACTGAGATTGGACTGGATTCTGTATGAATGTTTCCTAGCAAGAAAGAACGACCGTGTTTAGTCTACAATTTACTCCGAGAGAAATTATCACCTTCTCCTTCAGGGACTGCACACTGTTGCAATGCAGCTGTGCTCTGACATATAATTAATATATAAACTGATACGTCAGTACTCATATTTTACACCACTATACTTTTCTCCGGTAGATATATGTCGATTGCCAGTAGACCAAGGATCATGCGAAGGCTCGGGCGCGTACCACAAGAGATGGTACTTCGATGACCAACGTGGCGAATGTATAGCCTTCATCTATTCTGGATGTGGAGGAAACTTTAATAACTTCAAGTCGTTCCAATCCTGTCTTGATTTCTGCAGAGATTTATTGCCCCAAACGGAAGCACGTAAGTTTATTTTTGAAAGTCCGTGAATTGCTTTGATTAAATGTTGAACTGACATCTTACATTCTAATATTCTATAACTCCGATCATAGGATAAAGGAGATTCATCAAATAAGAGAATATATAATGTAGAGGACGTCAACTCATTGAGCACTATCTAGACACATTTATGTAGGTCCTCGGATTCAGAAGGCAGGTACAAAATTCGTAAATCAAATTATTAAGTCGTAGTGTGTGCGGTCGACCTTGAAAATAAAGCGACGCGACATCCGCGACCGTGAAGTCACGGCAACTCAGCAAGCCACTTACAAAGTTATATGAGTTTGTTTGTTATAGATTTACTTAGCATTAATGCTACAGTATCAATCTTACACAGTATATCACATAATATTTTATGTCTTTAAGTCTACATATTTTTATTCAAAATTTCACTACTATGAATTTATTAAATTCGTACAATTCTGTTTGAAATACCGATTTGTTTGCTATATTGCTACTACAATTTTGTAAGTGAAAATCTATACTTCCTCTACAGCATATTCAGATAAGAGATAGACCGGACATAAACAAGACCACGTGATCATCACACGCTGTAACATTCGGCAGGGACGTATTAAGAGTCACGCAGTACATATTTTAGATAGTAGATGCTGCTTTGCGTAACTTTGTAGTAAATTAGCACAATTCGATGTGTATACGATTGGTGATGGATATAGGATCATGTGGGGGTGGGGTAAGAAATATATAATGATGTAAATATACATAAGGGTTTCAAAATTTTCGCTTCCATTTCCAGCTTCGGATGCCGCCTGATGTTTGGTGAAATACAGTCGAATATAATCTCAAAATGGCGTTTAAATTAGCCTAAATTAAAAATAATCGTATATCTCTTAAAATTGTTTTTAGAATATTGATTAGTATATTTTTTGATTTCTAGGTAAATATGTAACCAAATTAAAACGTTCAAAACGTAAAAAAATGTGCATGGTTGAACATTGTCAGAAAGTAGATTCTTGAATAGGTTTTGCCAAAATGGGTTCAAAAATGTCAATAATTAATTAAAAAATACAGTAGCTTTATAATTACTTATAACTTACCGAATTTGATGAACGACATCTTTTATTGGAAAGATGAGCTTGATGAGCTTTCATCATCGCTACTGCCTGAAGCACCAACGTCAATAATGAATGGCTCGACTTGTTCCTCTAAAATATTGTCCAGTTCCCACATTCTCTTTTCAACTTTGTCTTTCACGTGCTTAATACAGTTTTCCCATTTTTGCGCTGTTATTAGTTCTAGTGCTTCTTTGAAAAGTCCTTTGAGGTCACAAAATTTAAAAGTTGTATTGTGCTTAGCTATATAATTTTTAACCTCTGCCCATATGAGCTCAATGGGATTGAGCTCGCAATGGTATGGAGGTAAACGGAGCACAGTTTTATTTTGACTTGCTGCCATTTCGTCAATGGCGTATTTTTGATATTCCGCCTTGTGATCCTTGACAATTCTTAATAATTGTACTTTCAGCATTTCTTCTTTAAAGTCGATATTTTTCGAGCGGAGCCAATTTTGAACATCAACTTTCCTTGAAGCCGTTGTTGGGACCTTCTCCATTCTTCGAGAATGATAAGGCGCATTATCCAACACAATTACTGCGTTTTCCTCTAAGTTCGGTAAAATATTTGAAAACCACTGTTCAAACGATTCGCCATTCATTTCCTCGTGGTAATCTCCAGTTTTCTTAGACTCAAAGGACCACAGACCGTCAACAACAAATCCATCCTCAATGCCAATATGGCAGATAATGAGCCTTTTCCCTTTACCTGGAAATCGAAGTACTAACTGGTATAGATTTATTTCAATAAGCGAACCTTTTTCAAATGTTTTTATCACATTCAGCGAAAAAACATTGATACATGAGTATCAGATTGCTATAATTGGGATTATTTAGTCATATTGAAAGAAAGAATATTGAACGTCGTATGATTACTCAGCGCTTCACAATTTAATTTAAAGTTATAAACCTTTAAAAAATGAATGATCAGGAACCTGAAATACGCGCAAATATTAATATTAACAAATTATAACTTTATAAAGCTTAAAGTATGAATTAAAATGATTAGAAATCTTAGGAACGGTACACAATATAAAACTTAGTAACTTTTTTTAAGTTTATAATATTCGACATATTTTAAGATTATATTAAAAAATTATTGAAATATCGAAAACACATAAAAACATGGCTTAAAAAAGTTCTAACAAATGAAAATGACAATAAAACATCCACGCATTTTATCGAAAGTTATAAAAGTTTTGTTACTTGTAATATGTTTTATCTGCCCCCTAGAATTAATGTTTAGAACCTTGTTCCCAAGGTTTGAAAAACATCCGATTGTTGTCTATTACTCGTATTTACCTGCTGGATTTTTTAATCCGGTGGACAGTCCATCTAGAAAGGCCCCCCTGGATGAAGTTACAGAATCATCAACCCATACTTTACTTGTAGTGTGTCCTGCGTTTACCCACGTTTCATCAAGGTAATAAATCTTCCTGTTCTGATTTCTATATTTCCCAATTTTTGTTAAATAATCCTTCCTCCATAGCACAATTTCTTCTCTATCCAGTAGTAAACTATTACGACCCCGTTTTTTCCATTTGAAATTTAAATGCTTCAGTAACGCATGGAAAGTTGATCGTTTGAAATTTGGCAACGTTGTATCTCCATTTACCTCCTGCAGTACTTTATCTATAGTAGGTATTTCATTCCTAAAGAAGAATTCATGCACTTTCCTCCTAATCGCATGCTTATCAGCTTCATCCAATGATTTAACAATACTTTTGCGATGTTTACTGGTCATTGGCTCAGAAAAGGTGTGATTTTTTTTGTATTGTCTTAACACATTAAACACTGATGCGCGACACACCCCAACTTTGTGAGAAACCTTCACAACAATTTGTTTGATGGTTGATGCCTCGTTCTCCTCGCGCTCGATCTTATATATATTCAAAATGACCTCTTTCATTTCTGCACTCAGGTGTCTTTTTTTAGAGCGTTTTCTAGGTGGACTACAGGAGTTTACAACTTCATCGGCAGTATCTGTACTACTGGGCATTTTGCGCAAGCAGTTGATAACAATAACAATCAATAACAAGGTATAACAATAACAACGACAAACTCAACAACTTAATAAGATAACAAACGAAAACGTCCAAAGAAATATCAAATTGCAATGATGCACACGACATACGTAACACGTCTGAACCTGAATGTGACTCTGCCTTGATACGACTGCTCTGCCGCTCGGCATAGGCATTTAATTGCGAATGGACCAATGAGGGCTCCTGTTTTACGTCGAGACGGCGGCGTTAGCGTGAAAATCACCCGAACCTTTTGTTTACATCCGGTCTATCTCTTATCTGAATATACTGTAGTAGAATAACTATGATACTCATTGTTCAATTCAATAAAATGATCTAAACAATTTGGTAGAAGATAATTTCTTATCTTGAAAATGAAAATGAAAACCAAGTAGGTTATGAAGTTTTTGACATTTAACTACTGTAGCTGTCTCATAGCTTTATTTCGTAATACTTATTTAAAAATACAGTTCGTTTGCGGTGAACAAAATAGTTGAACAATATAACAAATGAGGAAGAACGAACACTTAAGCCATGCGAAATTCTATAATATTTATTTATTTATTTTATTATTTATTTTTTTGGATGCTTAGCAATAATGTATTCTTAGTGTCCTTCAAATTTTGATGTACTATCTACATATATCTATGTCCAAATATTTAAATGATTCGACTGACTCTATTTTTTCATAAATAATCGCAAGATTTATCATATTTTCATCTAAAGATTTTCCTATAAGTATCAGTTTGGTTTGTTTGTGTGGCTTAAATGGGGGCAAAGTTGCGTATTTAGGTAACTAACAAAATGCCGCTTACAAAGTTTTGAAATCCAAAGTTTTTCTGGGGAGAGACGGATAAAGATAAAATCGTTTTAATTTTCTACTAACTTTGTATTTTCTAATGGACGGCCTCTACAAGAGAACGTAATCAACCATTCTTCTACTACCATTTGGATGGCTGTTTCAGTAGAATGTTTGTTTCTAAATCCTGGTGTAAATTTAGTCAATATTTGGTTTTCTTTAATATATTTAATGATTTGTTCATATATGCTTCCCTCTAAAAGCTACTCGACATCTGGCAGTACATCAATTGGCATGTTTGTATATAACTCACATTTCTGAACTTTTGGAGTAATTGCAGAAAATTTGAGTTTAGAAGGAAATTCGCCATACACTAAACAGTGATTTACTAGTAATAATGTTGAAACATTCTTCTAGAACCATTTTTGAAAGATGTTCACTAGGATTTCCATTTTATTTTAATCTTGAAATAGCTGTTATATTGCTGATGTTTTAGCCTCCTTTTGCAACTCAATGTTGTATTGAATGGTTACCGCTTGCTCCAGTTTCCTCGAATACCATTTACTTTTCATGATTTTGTACCCTATAATATCGCACTGTTCAATATTTCAGCTGCTGTTGTATACCAGACCGAAGTAGCACCTCACCCATGCCAAGAAGTATTTGACGAATGTACGACGTTACGTTGCCCGTACGGTGTTGAACCGTACGTGGATGAGAATGAATGCAACAGGTGTCAGTGCAGAGACCCTTGCTCGGGGGTTATGTGCAGGGAAGATGAACAATGTGCTATTGACATCAACAGAAACAGAACTGGAGGGGGGGATGCTGATTTTGTCGCTCTTTGTAGGCAGCGTAAGTTGACTGGATAAAAATATCAATGTTTATTATAATTGACACAAACTCTCCTAGCTGGTTTGGGGATTGCGTTAATACTCGCAAAGGGCTGTAGAACAAAACATTGTAATTTCACTGGCAGTACAAGGACATGAAGGTACATTAGCAGAAACTAAGAAATACTGATAATTTATACTTCATCCTACATCTATAAATTACAATTAGTATTAAGACCTACCAAAAATAAAAAATCATCAGGAATTGAGGATATTTTTTTTAGATGTTATGGATCTTTCACTTGACGGTCTTGATACGAGTATAGTAGTAGTCTTTCAAATAAATTAAATATGATCGCAAAGGTATCTCAAGGATCAGTATTAGGTGCGATCCTATTCGTCTATATCAATGATTTATTAAACCTGTTAAATTCGTAGTGGTTTCTGACGGTACGACAGTGCTTTGGCAAGACAAAGATATAAATGAAATTAAGACAAACATTTATAGTGATATACAATCAATCAAAAAATGGTGTGATAAGAATTACTTGACTTTCAATGTTAGTAAAACAAAATGTATGACATTTAAAAAATGCTTTCTTGATTTTATACATTCAAATAGATACCCTTTTTTATTTGAAATCCATCAAAATCTTGATTTCTACATTTTGTGGTATACGTCGTATTAGAACTAAGCCATCGAAATGCTTTCTTGATTTTATACATTCAAATAATGAATTAATACACAAAATAGACACTATCAAATATTTGGGACTGACCACTGATGTGTGAATTAGACTTTACTAATCATGTAGACAAATTGCTTACTCAACTAGCAAAGATTCCCTTCATTACAAGAACCAAAATTGTTTAAAACCCGTGCTTATTTTACAAAAATGGACTATTAGATGTTTAGCTTCATGCAGGAATTATGTTGTCGGAACTTCAAACTTCGTTTTTAAAAAAACTTTATTTGATTCCAACAATAGTTTACATGGACCGAACCGGAATTACAGTGTGTGTGTTCGCTGTGACTGAGATTGAATGACTGACTCATAATTAAGATACAATCGTTAATATAAACCAAAAGTGATGAGCTAGTAAAAAGGAATACAATGCAATTATTATATTAATTAATAAAGTGCTAAATGACGGCAACATAACTCCTCCACCCTTAAGATGAAGTTTTGGAGGGCACAAACAAAACTTCGTGCCTCTGGGGTTGCATTTCGATTTCTTCTAACTGCTGGCTTCTTCTTGATCCTTTTCTTTTCTGGTAATACTTTTTCACGAAGATGCATGCAATTCCAATTAACATAATTGCATACAGGGGTAGACTCCATTTGTAGGGGTGCTTTACTGTTTCGGGAAGATCTACCTGGATTTGGTCGGCTCGTTCTTGCAAGTGATGAAGTTTATCTAAGGAAATATGTACTAACTTGATTTCCTTTGGATTTTCTGTTTTTGATGAAATGTGGACCTCTGGAAGCAGCAGCGGCTTTTCCATGGTTGTTCCTTTTTGATTTTTGTAAATGTAGTCCTTCGTTTGTATGCTGCATTGGTAAGGCACTTCAAGTAGGTAAATGCCTTTTAACTCTATGACGTCATCTTGTTCACACTTGATTATCAGCTTTTCAGGTTTCGGAAAAATAGCAATGTATTTGGACTCTGAAACTTCTTCAATTAAGGCCATTTTAAGAGTTACGGGAATTTTGTTACAATTTGGCTGCTTTTTGTTTACTTGTAAAATAGCAAATAAACAATCGTCTTCTTCTTCTGCAACATGGACCAATTTGTTTTCGTGGCAAATAAAAATATCTTCTATCATTTGACATGGTTCAGCATCATATTGGTACATTTTGGTACTCATTGTGAAATAGGAATTTTTGGGAATAATGGTAGTTAGGTTAACAGTAGGAATGGAATAAAGATGATAATGCTTAAATTTGTCTACGTGCATAAGCGGAACATGTAAGGCAAAAACTAATCGATTTTGGGAAAAATATCCTTCTACTGAAATTATGTCGTAAAGCTTATAAATATCTTTAATGTCTGAATACACCAACTGAGCTTTATTATGATTTTTGACTAATATTTGGAATATTGACTTTAATTCGTCTATCGAAATAATACTGTGGTGCAATGACCCAATTTTGGCAAATGCGATGGCATTTTCCAAATTACTAGTTATAGAGAGCAGTGTATCTAAATTGAACTTTATTTGTAATAGTGTATCCAAAATAGTAAAATAGTATGTATTGTTCCTTTGCATCTCTACCAAAGTTTGTTCGATTACAGCTTGATTGTGAACCATAAGGTTAAATGTCTTATTGTTATTTTTGAGAACTTCGTGGGTCAAGGAAATTTGCTGATTAACTGTCTTAATTACTTGGTTCTGATTTTTCTGTAATTGTTCAATAGCCTGGTCATATTTTTTTAGCATCGTCATCATCTAAGTTCCCTGAAATCATTTTGATAATTGATCCTAAACCATTTATCAAACCTCGTTTTGGGCGATATTGCTTTTTCCAGAATGGATATATGGACATTATTTTGTTTTTCAAATTTGACATCGAGTAAACTATATGTTGTTCTGGGGGGTACTATTTCTACTGGGGGTCGTCATTATTCTTTCTATAGTTTCGTTTGCTTGTCTTATTTCTCTACGTCCTAATTCTAAGCTTGCTATGCGATTAGCGATTTGATCTGCACTATCACCTTCGAAAGGATTTACAGGTCGGGGTGAGTCACTCATGAAAAAATAAGGATACAATGAGCACTTACTGATAGGTCCAGTACTTCATCCCGTTCTTGGCCTAGGTTCCTCAGGTGGACGTCGACTTCAACAGGACAAAGGGCACTTGTGGTCCAAATTCTTTCTTCTTTCTTCAGTCGTACCGGCTCGTCACGGAGGTTCGTGATTCCCAATTAAGAGTTCGGACTCAAGGGCTAATCGGCGAAAATCCCTTTGGGAATGCTACTGCGGGCTGCGCCAATTATGTTGTCGGAACTTCAAACTTCGTTTTTAAAAAAACTTTATTTGATTCCAACAATAGTTTACATGGACCGAACCGGAATTACAGTGTGTGTGTTCGCTGTGACTGAGATTGAATGACTGACTCATAATTAAGATACAATCGTTAATATAAACCAAAAGTGATGAGCTAGTAAAAAGGAATACAATGCAATTATTATATTAATTAATAAAGTGCTAAATGACGGCAACATAACTCAGGCCTTTATTTGTAAATCTTAAAATAATGACTTTAAAAATAAATCCAAATTCGAAACGTTAAATATAAGTTACAATATTAGTTGAAAACACAGTCTTAAATTAGTAGTACCTGAAAGACTCGATAATTTATAATGGTCTGAAAATTTACATGTGCCTCCCTGATGCTATCAAAGAAATTTAAAGATATTCCGTCGTAAACTTAAAAACATTTTAATATCTAAACCATATGATTACCTTGTGTGAGTTCTATAATTCATCTACTTAAGATGCACTTATGTAATAATATAGTTTAGTTTTAAGCTAAGTCACTAAGAATGATTGAATCCTCAAAGAAAATATGTAGGTGGCTGATCTAGCCCGAAAGATGTGGCTGAATAACCGATCGATCGAGCACGATCGAAAACGTTATAAAGGCAGCAGTGCACAAAATTTGTCATTGCAACATACTACCACGTTTTTTGGCTTTAAATGTGCGTAAATTAATGCGGTTTTCACGTAATATCGTTTATTTTATGTGTTTTTATGTATCATTGAAGCCTAGCCCCCTTCCCCAAAAACATCCCCAAAGTTGTGAGTAACGCGAAAAAAGTTATTATTTCGTGCAAATTATAATGGAAAAATGCGGTTTTTGCGTTAATCGCATAAAACAAACATACCTCAAGTGCCCTCCAAAAAAATATATAGATATAAAAAATTACTATGTTGAATCAGATCGGAAACCCGTAATTGTTGAAAATCACTTTACGACCAAAATTTTTTCACGGATATCTGGTCAACTTAATGTGTTCTAATAGCCTAGTCGCTTGCTCGAGCGGGGCCCGGAACATACTTTTTTAGGATTAGGGTGGGTTTACATGGCGTTCGCACAAAAAAAATTATATTTCAAAAAAATTGGCTTACGCCCAAAATTTGTTTAGTTCGAACGCCATGTAAACCCACCCTAACCCTAAAAAAGTATGATCCGGACCCCGCTCGAGCAAACGACTATCATGGGCTATTAGAACACATTAAGTCGACCGGATATCAGTGGAAAATTTTTGGGCGTAAAGCTATTTTGAAAAATGACAGGTATTTGATCGAATTCTGATCGAAGTGCGGATGGGGGTGTTCCGGACCCCCCTGGGGGAACGGCTTGGTGGGATGTTAGAATATGTTAAATAATCACGATTTACATAAAAAAATTTTGCGCGTAAGCCAATTTTTTGGAAATATATTTTTTTTTCGTTAGAACGCTACGTAAATCCACCCTAACCCTAAAAAAGTATGTTCCGGACCCCGCTCGAGCAAACGACTATCATGGGCTATCAGAGCACATTAAGTTGACCAGATATCCGTGAAAAAATTTTGGTCGTAAAACGATTTTGAAAAATGACAGGTGTTTGATCGAATTCTGATCGAAGTGCGGATGGGGGTGTTCCGAACCCCCCTTGGGGAAACGGCTTAGTGGGATGTTAGAAGATGTTAAATATTGCACAAAAAAATTTTGAGCGTAAGCCAATTTTTTTGAAATATAATTTTTTTAGTGCGAACGCCATGTAAACCCACCCTAACCCTAAAAAAGTATGTTCCGCTCGAGCAAACGACTATCATGGGCTATTAGAACACATTAATTTGACCAGATATCCGTGAAAAAATTTTGGCCGTAAAGTGATTTTCAACAATTACGGGTGTCCGATCTGATTCAACATAGTAATTTTTTATATCTATATATTTTTTTGGAGACAAACCACGAGATAATGCCATGTCCAGTCAAGGGCACTTAAGGTATGTTTGTTTTATGCGATTAAAGCAAAAACCGCATTTTTCCATTATAATTTTCACGAAATAATAACTTGTTCGCGTTACTCACAACTTTGGGGATGTTTTTGGGGAAGGGGGGCTAGACTTCAATGACACATAAAAACACATAAAATAAACGATATTACGTGAAAACCGCATTGATTTACGCATATTTAAAGCGAAAAAACGTGGTTGTATGTTGCAATGGCAAATTTTGTGCACTGCTGCCTTTATAACATTTTCGATCGCGCTCGAGCGATCGGTTCTTCAGCCACATCCCGAAAGTGGATTAGTGCAAAGGCAGGCTAAAGAGACGGTTCAACAAGGAGCACTAAGTGTTAGTGCATGTCTTGGAGCAATGGTAAGATGTCGACCAAGTACCGGAAAATTGGCGAATTTGATAAGAATTTTGAGCTGCCTAATTCTGACAAAATTGGCGACAACTAAAAGAAGTTAAAAGCGACGTCTATAAGCATTTAGATCTGCCTCTTACGTCAGTTCTAAAAGTGTCTATCTATCTCTAGGTGTAAAGCCAGGCATGTGTCCATCACTCCAACTACGCAACGAAACCAGTGCTTGTGATCAAGAGTGCCGATCCGATGCCGACTGCGCCTTGAACTTGAAATGCTGCTCCACAGGATGTGGAACATCATGCGTGGATCCGGCACCACTTCCTGTACCACCGGCTCAACTAGTCACACAACAGCCACCTCATCCAGATCAGACATACACGGACCGGCCACAAGAATGTAAGTACCGAAACCTATACGTTAATCACTATAAAGTCCCGTAAAAGATACAATAATAGTTACCCTTTAATTTAAGCGTAGTTACCATACTTATTCGTGACTCTGGACCTGTCAGTTCTTGGCAACTAGATGTTTTGATAGCTATTGTTACCTGGTTGTTCACTGAAATGAAGCAAATTCAAACCAAATTAACGTATGTCTTAAAATTTTTGGCACGAAATATTTATCGGATTTTTTTTTAATGAAGAAGTTCATTTAAACAGTAACTAGTTAACATAAATCACAACTCAATACTTAACTAAACTATGCTATCGAATTATGTGGAGTGGCCCATTCTGCTCTACCAGATGCAACTTTCTTCGAATGTCTCTCATGCGGTCCTGGTAGAAATTCAGATCAATTTCTCTCAGTTTTTTGTAAATTCGTCGTATTAATTGTTCTTTATTTTGGGCGTCCCAGCCTCCATGATAAACCTTCCTAGAGAGTAAAGCCCAAAAATCCTCTATTGGGCGAGCCTGCGACAAGTTTGGAGGATTATCGTTTTTGGCAACAAAAGGTATGTTGTGTTGTCGAAGCCAGTTTTGAGTATTTCTTGAGCAATGGAATGATGATAGATCTGACCAAAATATGGTCATTAGCATGATGTTCGTGGACACACTGAAGCAATTTGGAAAGGCAGTTATCAATATAGCTTTGACTATTCAAAGCTTCACCCCTCATCCTTCTCACGAAAAGTTGGGATATACCCCTGTTAGAAATTGCGCACCAGACAAGGATTTTATCTGCAAATTTCGCTTTATGTTTGTATCTTACATTGTCAAAACATTCTTCCACGTTGTCCGTATAAAATCCGTCGTTTTCAGAATTACTCAAAAGTGAAATACTTTCCATCACCTAAAATAATGATTTCTCCTTTGCGTCAGTTGACGACAGCATCCTGGTATACGAAGGCGTTGCGCTTGAGAGTATTTGAGGCACTTAAGTCTCTTTCGATATTTAAGACCGTTCCTCATCAATTACAAAGACATTGTACTCTTAGAAGGTCTGTATTGACGAGCCAACAATATTTCAACTGTATGTGATATTTTTCACTGCAGTCTCCTTGTTGATATTCCAACATGATTTTTTGCTCTCCTCACCAATCTCTCTGACCTCTGTGCAGTAAATGCACGTGGTCTTCCACTTTTTGGGAGATTCAGACATGGCATTCCCAGCTACTTAATAAACGCTCTGATCATAAGACAAATCTTTGTGACACAAACTTCCTACAAATAGCGTTAACTGTTAATACCTGTCTCCTTGTCTAGATTGTATTTTTGAATTTTGAGATAGCTTCATGTCAGCCTATATTAGTCATTTCAATTATGATTATATTGTTGTAGTTTTTTGCACAACAGTATAGTAAAATAAAAATAGTGTATTCACTAATAACACCTTTTCACTATTTACAGCAGCTATCCGTTTATTTCTTTGCTTTAATTTTCATGGTAGAAAACGTTTAACGCAGAATGAATTGTGACCCATTCCAATAACGTTTTTACATGAACATATTTAATAAATTCAAAGTGTCATTGTATGAAATATAGCAAATTGAAACATTTCAGTCCTCGATCGATATAACTTTTCCCCACCACCCACTTCGCACATAGCGAATACAATTTATCAGTATCTAACTTCAATACGAGGAATGTCTTTTAAGTTTTGCATATAGAAACATAGTAGGCCGCGGGGATAGAACGTCAGTACTGAATTTTAACCTCATTCTTTAGTAAACTTAAATTCAAAGTTTCACAACAATACGTGCAGTGTTCTTACTACAGTGAATTCTTAACTGTCACCAAGTCATTAGAAAAATAGAACTCAAGATAGACATGTAACATATCGCGAGATTGAGGCGTCCGTGAAGATCTCAAAAACCTCAATTCAAAAAAATTTACACGAAGAATTAGGAGTAAGAAAATTAGTTTCTCGTTGGATACCCCACCTGTTGACTGAAGAGCAGAAAGCAGCCAGGGTTAATTGGTGTCAAAAAACGCTGGACCGTTTCAATTCCGAAAACTCAAAAAATGTGTACACCATTGTTAGTGGTGATGAATCGTGTATTTACGGTTATGAACCAGAAAATAATCGACAGTCGGCTGTCTGGGTGTTCCAGGGTGAAGAAAAGCCAACAAAAGTCATCCATTCTCGAAGTGTTTCGAAAAAGATGATCGCGACATTTGTGTCAAAAGCGGGTCATATTGCAACAATTCCTCTTAATGAGCAAAGAACTGTTACTGCGGATTGGTATACCACCGCCAAGAGTCATCACCGAGCTTCGAAAAATCAACCCCGAAAGAAGAATTATCCTCCACCAAGACAATGCAAGCTCGCACGCAGCCCAAAAAACAAGGCAGTATTTAACGGAAGAAAACGTGGAATTATTGGACCATCCTCCATATAGTTCCGATCTAAGTCCTCACGATTGCTTTACTTTCCCGAAAATTAAAAACAGACTGCGTGGTCAAAGGTTCCAGTCAGCAGAAGAAGCAGTTGACGCATTCAACAATGCCATTTTGGATCTACCAGCAAACGAGTGGAATAAGTGCTTCGAAAATTGGTTCGAGCGCATGCAGATGTGTATTAATCTTCGTGGAGAATAGCAATAAAGTCATTTAAATCTACCTACCGTGTTGTTTTATTTCCATATGCAAAACTTAAAAAACATCCCTCGTATAGCATAAAATTTTGCATTTAGTCGCCATACATGATTCTGCTTCAGCCAAAATGGTGTTCCAGCTTCGGTCATTGTGAAGCAGCAGAATCCGTACAAGATCGTGCTGTCCTAGGCCTACGTTAAATGTTAAAACTTTTGACAAGATCAGTCATGAGATTCTCCTCAAGAAACTTTGCTATCTAATTTTAAGAAATAATTATTTCTTGCTATCAAAAACATATTTATCTAATAGACAACAATATGTATGTGTAAATAATGTGAGACCGAAAGTATTCACTGCAACTAGCGGTTTGCCGCAGGGGTCCAATTTGGGACCTCTTCCATTCTCACTTCATATCAATGATTTGTATGATTCACTTACCTGCAATAAGCTAATGTTTGCGGATGATTAAAAAATATATGTCAGTATCCAGTGAAAAGGACCCTCCTATCTTTCAGGAACAAATCACTTTCCTACAGAACTGGTGAGTTAGAAATCATCTGCACTTGAACATATCTAAATGCAAAGTAGTAACATTCAGTCGCAGGTCCAAGCCAACATCTTATCGGTATAGTATTGAGAATTCGGCACTAGAAAGAACTGATTGCATCAGAGATTTAGGGGTTTATTTTGATAATCAGTTAATATTTAATTTTTATGTGAGCCAAACAGCGCATTATCGTCTCTGTATTTCAGTCTAGTAAGATCCAATCTGGAATATTATAATAATAATAATAATAATAATAATAACGCCTTTATTTGTTGTACAGGTGAGGGACAAAGATAGCGAAGTTTAGCCTAGGCTGCACTTAACTATCTTTGTCAGTACATTCAGAGCACGATGTAATGTGCGTGGCCTAAGATGTTATAAAAAAAATTATAGTTATAACTAAACTATACTATAAACTAAAATATAAAACTATATACAGTATGTACATGGATACATATATACACATATATATATATATATATACACCCATACACTCCTATAATATTTAGATACATATATACATAAGAAAAGATACTGTACCTATATCAGGTAAGGGTAAATACAAATTGTTTTATTTGTTTACGGAAATTGGCAGGAGACATTTCCTTGTATTTACCTGGTAAAGCATTGTAAAGTATGGCAGCATTATACGAAAAACAACGCTTGAAAAGTGTCATAGAGTGAGGCGGTATTCTGATTATTTTACAGTCTCTTATGCTCCTGCTATGAACTTCATGACTAAATATAATCTTACCTCTCAAATAAGCGGGCCATGACGTAGCTATCAACTTGTGCAAAAATATTAAGTACTTGTACTCAACTAGCTTGCCAATTTTTAGCCATTTCGTACTTATCGCTAACATGGTCAAATTTTTTCAGCCCATGGATAAAACGGATGCAATAATTTGCATCCGGTTCGTCATGAACTGGTCGAGACATGGATAGTAAAGAATATCGCAATAATTTAAGATTGACATAACAAGAGACTCACACAATTTGTATGGCCTTTTATGGATCACTCATATGGAGTCCTATATATAGCCCATATATCGTTGCGATGGAAAAGCACAAAAGAAATTTTTGAAATTCATAGATCTCAAAATCGATCCAGAGCTACTACATAGATTTGATTATCAATCTTTGGAGAAGGGTAGATATCAGTTAACTGAGCTTTTGAATGGAGAAGTAGATTCTCTTGTATTGTTATCAAAGGTAGATATTCTGGTTGCTAGAATAACATCTAGACAATTTACTACTTTCCTGTGCAAAAGAGCTCAAACTGGCTTACTCTTGAAGGCTCCGATTTTATGTGCAGAAATGCCAACAATATTTCAACTGTATGTGATATTTTTCACTGCAGTGTCCGTGAATTGAAGAATAAATCTCTCGACTAAATCTCAATCCCATCTCTGATGGATTTTGGTCTAGTTTTTTATATTCTCTATTTTTTTTTTTGTTTCTCTAGGATATTTTCATTCCGTGATGTAACAACCCTGTAAGCTATATTACTGCTTTTACTCTGTAGATGATATTACTGTTGGGCCTTGAACGCATTATTATTATTATTATTATTATTATTATTATTATTATTATTATTATTATTATTATTATCATTATTATTAAATGTATTGTTTATTCCATGTATTTAATTCCAGTTTCACCACCTAAGATTGATTTGGAGAAATTTGAGCCGACTGTAGCCGCACCCATAGGTGATCAGGCTATTTTGAGATGCGCGGTGACTGGCAACCCAACACCGAAAATCAAATGGAGTAAAGGGAATATACTGGTTAGTAGTCAAAAAAAAATTATAATATTTGTGATTGATTTACTAACTTCTTAATGTTTCGTAATATTTTTTTACGTAGATTGACGGTGCACAACCAAGGTATAGGATAAAACTGGATCAATCGCTCCAGATCATTACATTGCATAAGACTGATTCAGGAATCTACCTGTGCACTGCTGAAAATAGTCTTGGAGATCCCGTTACTAATGAAATCAAACTTGATGTATTGGGTAAGTTTTCGCTATAGAAATAATATCTCGTTCATGTAGACAAATACTTTGCATTCTTACATAACTAACTTGGTGATGGAAGATGGTACATTCGTTTTGTTTCTTTTATGTATAACAGTTTTATTGTCTGTGTTGTCTTAATATTCACTTATGGCAGTCAAATCGTTGATTTTTCGCCCAAAATGCATGATTTATATAAACAAGAAAGTAGGTCAGATCTCAGATTCACTCAATATTTTCGCAATATTAAACTAAAAGATTTGTGATGGCAGTATTAAAATCAAGAAACGCGATGGGATGGACTTTGATCTAATTCTGCCGAACAATTATCGATTCAAAATCCATATTTAGTTTCAATCAATTTCTCAAATGAGCTCTTTTTGGGAGGCTCCACTTAAAAATACTCAAGTCATTATTTCAACTTAGTAACTTAAGCACGAAATCAAGAACATTAAAACCCGGCTGCTGATTGGAGATCTATATGTCCTGACGGATCAGCTACCGAGTTATTGACATATCTACCAACTGTCACTTGTCAATGACCTCCCTTCGAATCAGTTCATCAGTTACATTTCAACAAAGAGTATATATACGAGAGGGTACCCAAAAAAAACGGAATTATTTTTTAAAAGCTATTTATTTTCAACTTTTTCACAAACTAACCTTATTTTCTTCAAAATACTGTCCATTACAACTAATACACCGGTGCTTCCACTGCTCTAAAAAATTTCTGAAGTCTGAATGTCTGACAGCTCTTCGCTCGTTTTTTCTTGACCTTTTCAATGTCGTCAAGGCGGCGTCCTTTCATGCCCCTTTTTATCCGTGGAAATAAGAAAAAGTCGCACGGAGCCACGTCAGGCGAATAAGATGCGTGAGGCAGCGTAACCATGCCATTTTTAGCCACAAACTGTCGAACAGAGATGGCTGTGTGCGCAGGTGCATTATCGTGGTGGATGTCTCCTGAATCGGGTCTTTTTTACCAAACACTCGCAATCGTCTTAAAACCTCCAAATAGCACAAGCTCTCGAATTTTTCCAACATCTTCGTCGATTCGGGCAGTTGATGGACGTCCAGAGCTAGGTTTGTCATCAATCAACATGTCGCCATTTATAAATCGAGCAAACCACTCGTACACCTGAGTTTTTCCCATAGCATCATCTTTGTAAGCTATTTTCAACATTAAATCAGTTTCAGCAACATTTTTACCAATTATTCACAGCTGCACGTTGCTCACTGAAGCTTGCCATCATAAAAAACTAAACAGCCTTAGAAAAAATAATTACTGCAGAGGAACGAAACAAGCCAGATCGACAACTCAGGTGGCACCGAACTCTAGGGGCAGAAATGTGTACTACACAAGCTCTGCCCACTGCAATGCTATTTCGGTTATTTTTGGGTACCTCCTCGTATGTCGTGACCATATCGTAGAATTGACGATTTCATGAAATGATCGAGCATTTCATAAAATGGCCAACTAATTTCGACCATATCGTTAAATGGTCAACGTTTAACGATTTGGTCGTCCACAATTGACCATATCGTAAAATAGGGTGTCCATAGATTTAATAAAAATCCAGAATTTATATTACGGATTTGTTTATTGTTCAAGTACGACAATCATCTTGATTAAAGCTAGTAACTTTAAGAAATCAAATTAAAATGATTATATTAAAACATTATAAAATTGCCCAACGTGTCACAAATAGAATTTTTGAACATATCAGATATCACAAATTAAGTTATCACCTCGCGTAGTCACCCTACTCTGCTTACCTAAAAATGAAATAAAAATTACGATCATTTTTACATACGTAGAAAAACAGACAAATAACATTTTAGGTGACACACGATTTTGACTTCAAATAAATAGATAATAATGTAACTTAAGAATGAACTACTAACCTGTGCATCGCGTTTCGAACTCTACGGCTTTTTGACGTTTTATTCGATACTTGCGTGAGCCGCATAGTACTCGAAAACTGGAGTATCTTTTTGTCGTAAAGTCTTTTACTCTCACTTTCATACTCATTTGATAATGAGTTTGTTAACAGCTGCCGAGTTGAAATATAAACAAAGCGCTGCCAGCGCCTCTATCGGTGATTAATGTAAATATTTTACGATTCGATCAAACATGCTTGACCACCTCTTGAAGTAGTCGCGCGTTTAGTTGATCATATCGTTAAACGACTTGTTATCATTGATCTGGTCAACATACACCATGATCGAGCCAATAGATAATGATACATTTCAGGAAATGCGACCATTTCATGAAGTGATCAATTTTACGATATGGTCACGACATATACATCAGACGGGTTTTCGCTCACAGTTTTCAAATGAGAATGGATCGATGTTGATATTGGATGATACAAATTGTGTGTGAGGTAGTAACGAAAATATTTTGTTTATGCGGCGACTCCAGAAAGGTGTACAAGTAACAGTCTGATTGGGTCAAATCATGAGATCTCGGTGGCTCTGCCAAAACTAAACGCTGTCCACGTCCACATTTATACATTTATATAGTTCAAATCTGCCCAAATAAACTGGTTAAAACTGATCTGTAACCATCACCGTTGACGGTCTTCTTGAAAGAACCGCCCATTCAATTTTCCCACCGCATCTTTAATGATTTGACTGCCATAGAACAGTTGTGCAAAGCATGCAACATGGACATGGTAGCACCTCTTAACCGCACGTTTCACACTAACTACTCACACTTAGACTCCGAGCCCCGACCACCGAGCATCTTGGACCAAACAGACGAACCTCCAGTCATAGTGTCGTTAAATGCTCCAACGACACTCAATTGTTATGCTTTGGGCCATCCTGTACCCACCGTCTACTGGTTCCATGACGATACAATGATTCCGTTCAAGAACAATGAGTACGAAGTTAGGAAGGACTTCTCGCTGTTGATTCACTCGGTGAAGTTACACAACTTGGGTATTTATACGTGTCAGTCGTACAACGGAGTTGGAAAGGTAAGCTGTCCTCAGCCCAGCGTATAGAATAAAAAGGTAGTTAGTTTGTATGATGCGTAATGTGTTGGTTATGGTGCTAAAGTGAAAATTTGTGCCACGGCGCCTGTATACTGAAAAATTATAGGAATATGAACGCTCTCAAGTATACTCAGAGTCGGAATTACGCTACAGTCGAAGATTAGCTTTTCCCAGCCACCTGGCACACTATCACACAAAACACCTAGAACCAACCAGTTCAGAATGTATATACGCCCCGATATAGCCTATACCCAGTTTTCACACCGGCTACCTACATACGACAGATATTTCTTTCTAAATATTTCAAGAAATAAAAAGATTACCTTTCAAATTTGCGGTAATGTTTGAAATCAATTCAAGTATCAGTCTTGTACATATTTCTATGATAGATTTTCCTTATAAAATGTAGAAATTAGTATGTCGAAGGCTACGAATCCATCAAACTTATAAGTCAAATGTTTCAGATGTTCTAAAAATTGAGATAATTTTAATGGCCTTTAAAGTTTCATATGATCCGTTTTTCTAAAATGCTCTATAATTTTTTTCTGGTGAAAACTGAAGTGACACGGGAAATTATAAGGTATAAAGTATCCCATAAGCGCCCAATAAGTGTTATAAAGATTATCTCTGGAAAAAAATTCGCCAAAACCTGTGTCAACATAACATAAATAAAATAAATTGTAACGAAACACGAGTCCTACATAAAAAGTTACAGCATATTAGAAAGTATAGGTTTTCCCTATATAATAAATTATCTAATTCTAGTATTCATCTAGCTTTGGACGACACATCTCCAAATTGGCAGCGTGAGCAGTACAGGTACCTCGTGGAAATTCTAAATCCATAAATACCCCAATAGTCGAAACTTTCCAGACAAACCTCTTTTTGAGCACCAAATAATTGAACTACCAGTAACAAATACTATACGAGTATATACAGGATGTCTACGAAAGGTTAGGAAATCTCGAAACTGGAGATACTACAGACGAAAATATGTGAATTGACCTAAACATACCTTTGTCCAAAAGTTGATAGTTTTCGAGATAGAATTCAAATCAAAGTTACAATTGTATTTTCTATTTTTCCTTATTGCTTGAGAACTATTTCAGATTTTGGCATAAAACTCGGTATAGGGAGGTTTTCTAGTATAAGAAACAAGAATCCGTTATTTTTTTTGGCCATAGTTCTAGAGGGCGCCACTTACAACAGTATTTCGGTAAATAACTTATCATAAGTTTGTTGTGCTACCCTGTATACAACAACTGACCGAAAAATCTTATTTTCTCGTATTTCCACAGCACAAAAGGTTTACTTGTTAGAAGTGTCTAACGCTAATAGTTTTTGAGATATTTGTTTTTAAAAGTTCCAATGCATTATTTGTACCATGATGATAAAAGATTTTTATAACATAATAATCAAGTTGCTTTGGATAATATCTGAATAGTGTTGATATGGTTTTTAACAATAACAAATGAGATGGCAACAAAACTAATAAACGGAAATAATTACTACAAAAATTGTTCAAAATGAGCACCACCTTGCCTAACACACTCTCAAGTTCGACGAACTAATCCTTGCTGCACTCTCCGAAGGATTTGGATGTTATTTATCATTTCCTGGCTATGGTGGAAAATTCTTTGTCGAAGATCGCCTACAGATTCCACAGGCGTATTCTAAACGCGTCGTTTTAAATCACCCCAGAAGAAAAAATCCATAGGATTTAAATCTGGCGATCTAGCCGGCCACGATACAGGTCCTGATCGGCATATCCACTGGTTTGGATAAATTCTATGTAAGTGCTCTCTAACTAATAGGTGGAGCGCCGTCTTGCATAAACCACATATTCATGAATGTTTGTAATGGGTAATTGTTCTTCAAGAAATTGTAAATACCTTTGGCCATTTAGTCTATGTGGTAACTCAACGGATCCTATTAAATATTATCCAATCATTCCTGCCCAGAAATGGATTTGAAATTGTACTTCGTTAAGAGTCATGTACAAAATTCTACCCTCGCTGGTTTATCATCCGCGCTTAAACCATGTACATTTTGCAGGTGGTATGGATGGAGCACTTGCTCTTGAAAAATGGTATTTACTGTACATTTGGAAACTTGAAATTCTCGAGCTAAATTCCTAACCCCATCTGTAGGATTTTCAAAAGATAGCATCTCAAACATTTTCTTCAACTTCAGCTGTAAGTACAGTTCTGGGAGCTCCACTATGTCGGCCCATATTTTGAGCAAAACTACCTGAAATCCAATTGGTTTTTACTTCTTAAAATAATTCTATAATCATTTACCAGTTTCTCGTTAACGCTGTTCGATTCTTCGGAAAGTCTTTGAATTAGGCAGGTGTCTATTAGGGAATCTGTCAGCGTACAATCTTCGTGCTTTTGAAGCATTACATCTTGCCAATTCGTACATTAAATGCATATCAGAATATTCATCAAACTTACATGATATTTAACAACTTATTGTCAACTTAAAATTATTCATGAAATTTAAAGCAATATTATGACAACCGTTAGATACCATACCAACGCTACTCAGATATTACCCAAAACAACTTGATTATTATGTTACAAAAATGTTTTATCATCGTGGTACAAATAATGCATTAGAACTTTTAAAAACAAATATCTCGAAAACTATTAGCTTTAGAACTTCTAACGAAAAACCTTATTTCTTGCGGAAATACTAGAAAATAAGATTTTTTGGTCAGTTGTTGTATACAGGGTAGCACAAAAAAGTTATGATAAGTTATTTACCGAAATAGTGCTGTAAGTGGCGCCCTCTAGAAGTTTGGCCATAAAAAATAATAACAAATTCTTGTTTCTCATGCTAGAAAACCTCCCTCTACCCGGTTTTATTCCAAAATCTGGAATACTTCTCAAGCAATAAGGAAAAATAGAAAATAAAATTGTAACTGACCCTGTACGGCGCAAACTATCAACTTTTGGACTAAGGTACGTTTAGGTTAATTCACATATTTTGGTCTGTAGTATCTCCAGTTTCGAGATTTCCCAAGCTTTCAACCTGTATATACACAATCACCAATCTCATGCCTTTATCATAATGAACTATTTCTCAATAACGTTTGACCAAAGGCCGCCAGTTGGTCGGTGACTGTCCGAGCTAGAGGGCCATACCACTTCAGTGATCCACTCGAAATGAAGCTCTACAAGAAGTTCATAGTCGATCCACCAGAGGACCCTCATTTCACTACCACTACTACCATGTCCACACCCAGGTTGCCTCCTTACAGACCAACACCTGAACCTTACGTACCTCATGTACCTGACTACTACACGGAACCGTCGAATGAAATCAGGCCGGAACCGGTGCCAGTAGAAGTTCCTTATCAGCCGCCACGTGTTGTTGGTAATGATTATTTTATACAGTTTTTAAAACAGCTTTTTTGTTGTTCTATTGTTCAAACTTTTTTTTGCAAGAACTACAAGTGTGTCAACGGGCCCAAAAATGGGTAAATTACGTTAGTAAGTTCGGATTTTTTCATTTGGCATGTTTTTGATGATAGCTGTATTTACCATAATGTTTTACACTAAGAAACGTGTAAAGTAACAATTATGCATGTGGCATGTCTCCTCTATTTTTGTTATATTAATTAAATCTAAGTGTTATTCTCATGAATATTGCATGTGTCGTGGTATTTACTAATATTGTAACTATAGATATTTATTCAAAACGATTGCGCCGATGTGGTACCGATATTGCGCCCAATATGCCTAAGGAAATCGTGTATGTATAATTTTGAAATCGTTGTTTCTCTCAACTTGGAAATTGGGAATCGGGGGTTTCTAAGGATAGGAATACAATAATAAGTATTTGCTATGGTACCTGAGAAAAAAATATTGCTTTTTTCGATTCTAGTTAAAATATCAGTAGTGTTCCTAGGAAAGCCAACGGTTCCTTGTAAGGCCGATCAAAAACAGTTGGCCTTGCTAAGATGCAAGGGTATTATTAGGAACATATAGGAATCACGAAAATATTAATACTTAGTTTTTAGTTATAGAGGAAAATCAGGTATATTGTATTGCTTTTTTCATTACACCATCTCAATATTTACTAAATTGTAAATTTCCAGCGCCATCTGGAACATGTTTGCATTACAAGCCACAGACCCATAAGAAAGCCATTTTGGTCAGTTTAATTTTTTTTATTTCATTATAAAGTTTATTAACTCTTTTGATGTCGATATAATACTCATTAAATTACTTTTAAAACATTTGCACGCATACAATCTAAGTTTTACGACAGTGTTCAAGCAATGTTCCAGTATGTTTTATGAGACAATATTACATTTCAATAGAGCAGATTTATAGGTGTAGTTAGCTGTAACTACTAATATTAACACTTGGTTACTACTGATGGGTCTATAAGACAATGAACAATGAAAGCAATATTTTCAAACTATACCAATTTGCATCACTTGCTCAATTATGTCCAAACTGTTCTTAATTAAAGTTATGTCATTATAATGCATATTATTTTTCTTAAAATGTGTATTTTTTCAAGACCCTTGGGTAGCGACCCAGTAAAGTTTATTTTGAGTAATGACCAAGGGTTATATTAAGCGACTGATTTATTATATTGGCTTTTTATAGAGCTTTGACCCTTGCAACGCCGTTCCGAAGAATTGTTTAAATGATCAAATGATTAACCCGACAATGCAAAACATGTTTTATAGGATATATAATAGAACAAAGTGTTGATAATATGTTTGTTCCATTTATCCAGTAAATGGAATAAAGCTGGTTTATCTGTTAAGGTGGTCTTTCAATGTATCCTTCGTTGAAATCGACTTTAACTTATTCCATATAAAAAAAATGATCCAAATGGACTTTATTGCAATGAATTTTGAAAACGCTTCATAGAACCAGCTGTTCCTTAAGTAACTCTGTGAATATGTAGCTGTTAGCAATTTTCGAAACCCTATTTCCAACTAAGTCGTTCTTTAATAATTGTACAAGTATCTTCTGCAATAAAGTCGATAAGGGTTTCATTTATTCATTATCAGAACTGCATCATATGTTGTTGTTGTTGTTGTTGAAGATTTATTTAGCATTAATGCTACAATGTCAATTTTGTGTAATGATTCGGTTACATATTTTTCTTCAATCCATTTTCTGTAATTTTACATTCTTGTCTGTTAAAATTGCATCACTATGCATTTTGATTATTCATAAAGTGATTTTTTAATTTCACCTCAAACATTTTTAAATTCGATCACTGTCTAATATCATTCAATTTATTAAATTCAAATACTCCCTTTTGAAATATTGATTAACTAGTTATGCTACTATTACAATTTTGCAGATGAAAGTCTATACTACCTCTAGTTTCGTAGTTATGATAATGACTATTTAATTTTGTGGTTTATAAATGTGGTGGTAATAAAAGATTTTTTAATTTGAATATGAAAACGAGAACTAAATAATATATGAAATTTTTCACATTCAACCACTGCAGTTCTTCTAACATAGACTTAATCCTAGCATATTTGTTTTTATTTAAACTGATTCTCATAGCTTTATTTTATAGAATTTGTAATTTTGAAAACATGTTCTCATTCACTGTAAACAAGATGGGTGAACAATATAAAAAATGGGGAAGAATTATAGTGTTATACACAATTTTTTTTGGAATACATTCCAAGATTATGAAAAACTCTATAGAAGTAATTTATTTTTTTCGATATTTTTGAAATAATGTATTTATTCATAATGCTCGTGAAACAATAGTTGACTATCCACATATATACCAAGGTATTTTAAATGACTCTACTGCAATTTTTTCATGATTAATCATGAGCCTAATTGTATTGTCACCTAAATGTTTCCCTGTTGACATACATTTTGTTTTATTAGTGTTTAATTTAATTTTATTGACATTTAACCAATTCATAATTTTTCAATATCACTATTTAGCAGTTCTAAAGCAGTGTCCAAATGCTTATGTGCTATATATACAGGGTGACTTCGAAGTTGAGTCATTTATTTTAACAGTGAGTAGATCTGATCAAAAGAAATGTTTTTTTCCTTTACCATTTTTCTGGTAAAATTAAAGTAACAAAGTTATAGCCCTTTGGAAGTTTGAGTACTGCCCTGTCTCAATAATAATATGTTCGTGTTTGGCGACAACGGATATAATCCGCCTGACCGGTTCATCGCATCGGAAACAAAAAAGCGAAAGAATTTGAAACGTTTATGACGATGTTTTTCGTCAGTCGATAACGCGTTAGTGAATGGTAGTGTTTGTTGCGTGGCTCAAACGAAATCAAAAATAGCACATGTTTACGAAAATGCTGAACTTGTGGACATGATTCTTATTTACGGGGGGGGGCAGTCTTTACAAAATGCTCCCGGATGCATCACGGATTTATGCGAATCGGTTTCCCAATCGAGTGCAACCAACCCCTCGTGCCTTTGTTAATGTAGTACAAAGGGCTCGTGAATCAGGTGACTTAAGACCTCACAGGTCAGGGCATGCTGCTCCAAGACCGCACGATCAAATACAGGTCCGCACTGAAATACTTGTCGGGACGATACTTTATTAAACAAGGTAACATTTTTTTTTATTTATTTTTTTATTTTTACACACATATTTTGGATTATCTTCCTTCTACAATCATTATCTGAAAATTAATGACTCAACTTCAAAGTCACCCTGTATATCAATGTATCGTCCGCAAATATTTGAATTTTGCAGTGTTCTAAAATGTCAGAGATATGATTTATATAAATAATAGATAGTAACGGCCCTAATTTACTCCCCTGTGGCACCCCTACTGATAAATTTTGAACACTTGATATAATATTTTCAACTTTAGTTTTTTGACTTCTATTTACTAAGTAATTTTGTAAAATGTGTAATACTGATCCTTTAAAGAATATTGTTTCTCCTTATAGAAAGACGGAATTATCTAAAATGCGTTTCGAAGATGGGGTAATGATAAAAAAATTAATTCTATCAGAAAGAATGATCACTTATTTTATAGAAAGTATAAATCAAATAGACGATTGATGACGGTGATCCAAACTTATGTCCATTACAAATATGTCAGAATTCATCAATGAATCAATTTAGGACAATTAACATCAACAATCTAAGAAAAGCTATCTCGGAATTGAAATCTAATAAAAATCCAAGTGAGAATCTCTCAAAAAATATTCTAAATGATTGTTTCAATATAATTGGAGAGAAATTATTATTATTGGTTAACCATTGTTTAGTACATGGTGCATTCCCATCAAAATTACCATTACTCCTGTGCCAAAAGTTCAACATTCTCAGCTGTATACAAATATGCGACCGATTAATGTCTTCCATATATCGAGAAGCTGTTAGAAGGAATAATATACGAACAAATCATTGAATTCAGAAACCAAAATTTTGACAAAAAATCAACCTGGATTTAGAAACAGCAATCCAAATGGTGGTGGAAGACTGGAGAAGAAGTATAGATGAGAAAGAATATATTGTAACAGTATTTTTAGACTTCAAAAGGGCATTTGAGACTATAGATAGGGAAAAATGAAATTGAATCACTATGGCTTTAATGTTTTCCACATCATTTTTGGAATTATTTTTATTGCTATCGATCTTTTTATCATAGTATTTTTTTCCCTCTTGAGAACTGCTACACATTCATTTCTTGATTTTGTATATTGTGTCCAATCATTTTCAGTTTGGATTCCAGGAATTTACGGTTTATTTCCGAAAGTATCTTGCTTTCCAAAATTTGCTGTATGGCGCCTTCTGATAAACTCGAATAAGTTATGTATTCATAAAATCATCGAGTTATTATCACGTTTTACCTGATTTTAACAAGTTCCGATACAATATTGCATTAGGACCGAGGTCACAACTTATAAGAAACAGAGGCACAAATATTCATTATTGTACCATTTTATTCTTATAACTTAGATTTCTCAGCATTCTTAGCATTCGGCTTTGGTATCGGTTTCGGTCGAAGCTTGCCTTGAAAGCCGAACATCTGCTTCTGCCTAAAAATTAACCTTCGGTGATGTAAATATCCGGTTGTACTGTAGAGGAATAACGATTTCAAAAATTAAACTTTGGCACTTAGTATCGCATTAGCGAACAGGATTACCTGGCTCATTGTCATTATTTTAACGAGTTTTATCAAGGATTTCTTTTTGGCGCATTCACGACAGTCCATTCTGTATGTTTTCATACAGGCATATCTATTCAGTATACAACTTAATCTAAAAAACATCCCACTGTTTCAGTACCAGTTCGTGCCAACATAACGTCAAGCGATCAAAGATTCCCGATCGGAAGTGATGTAGAACTACCCTGTACAATACAGGGTTATCCAATACCTCAGGTCAAATGGTACAAGGATGGTGTAGAAATTACCAATTCCGAAAAGATGCAAATAACAGGTAACTACAATTTTATTAGAACCAATTTATACTGTATGTACGTATAGAATAGATTTTGACTGAATAGTGCTCCAATGTAACTGTTTGGAAAAAAGCTCAAATAAATATCATAAGTGCTTCTGACTTATTATTTATGGCAGTTTACTATTCTAGTTTCGATTACATTTATTACAATAATTATAAATTGTAGGTGTGAACACGCTGTTTATAAGAAACGTAACGAAAGCAGACTCAGGCAATTACCAATGTGAAGCAACAAATGCGTACTCTAGAGCTTCCAGCACTATAGAAATTATAGTAGAAGGTGGTAAGTAGAATAACAGTGAACTTACATATGTAGCAAAGATAACGTATGCTCATTTGATACTAACACTATTTGGTTTTTCCATCAACATTTGTTAGTCTACCGAAAAATGTTCAACAATAAGGAACAGTGATTTTCAAAAAGAAGACGTTAGATATCGGAATATGTGACCCATCCATGTTAGATTCATATAACAGTACAGATAACGGGTTTGTTTTAAATCTTTTTAAAATATGTCAAGAACAATCATTCAACAAGTCTTGCAAAACTGATCACAAGGATTTCACGCATCTGCATGCCAAAATGTAACGCTAAGCTTAGGTATCCTGTCATGAATTACCCGCCTCCATTCCCTCTAACTTTTTTGTAAGACCGTCTCAGAAAAGTGGTATTGAATAAAATTGTATTTTTTGAATAAGACACCCAGTATATCTTAAGTGAAAATGACAGTCGCTTTTGGTTTGATTGAAAATATGCTCAGTGACATATACAGGTAAAATGCAACATTCAGAATTATTTATTGAAATTTGATAAAAACCGAGCCGTACCTTTTTTATCTTATCAGGATCCGAACAATCTGAACATGTTTACTTAATATTTAGTGATTTTTCTGTGTTGGTTCCATTTGTTTAATTGTTGTTTCCTTGCATTATCATCCCTCGAGTTCGCAGACGCGCTAATTTCACTCAATTTCAACTTCACTTCAATGTTTGACAGGAGTCGGATAATCGGGTTACGTGAAGCCGGATTTTTTTTAAAAGAAATCGCTAATCGGGTGAATCGAAACGAAGCTACTGTAATGAGATGTTGTCTAGCGTGGTTCCAGGAAGGCTGAAATTGACGAGGGTAGAAGTACTTGACGTCAAAGACAGACTACAGAGCGACATGATCGTTATTTGAGGCAACTAGCACTTAGAGATCGATTTTCCATAATAACGAGGACAGTTTATCGCCGAATAAGGCCTTTTGGACTGTTTTCATACCGTCCCCATTTTGTACTACCTCCGACCCCACAGCATCGTCGGAAACGATTGGTATGGAGTAGAAGAGACTCGAATGGAATATGGAATTGACCTCGGTCGTGTTCAGCGATGAGTCCAGATTCTGTTTGGGCACACATTATGGCCGTCCAAGAGTAAGGAGGAGACGTGGTGAAAGAACGGCTTATTCATCGCACTGTGGGTGTTATGGTATGGAGTGCCATTGTTTACGGCGGCAGGTCACGATTAGTGCTCAATCGAGGTAGCATGCTTGCCCAACGCTATATCCACGAAGTCTAACAACCAGATCTGCTTCCCTTTTTCGAAACATCGCAAGATGCACTTTTTCAGTAGGACAATGCTCGACCTCATGTTGCACGTTTTAGTTTAGACTACTTAGAAGCTTCCGGAATAAATCTGCTTCGGTGGCCTCCTTGATCTCCAGACCTTTGCCCCATCATACATGTATGGGACATGATGGGAAGGAGGTTGCAAAATTCTCCACACCCTCCACAAACATTGGAGGCTCTACGAAACCAAATTCTGATGGCATGGATTACAATACACCAAGGAGACATCAATCACCTAATTCAATCAATGCCGCGATGACTTAACGAATGTGTAGCAAACAGAGGACCTTCAACACATTATTAACATTAAGGTGGGATATCTCAGATATTTTGCGAAATTTCGAGTTAAAATTTTAATCACTTTCTATTTATCAGTAGACCTAAAGTATGCTCAAAATTACAGCACTCCTAGTCGGTCTTGCATTTAGTAGATGTAGGAGTATATATGGTTTATCCTTAGTTTGGTCAGAAATTTTGTATGTAATTTATTCATTATGTATCCCGAGTTCAAACCCGTTTGCCTCTAGCTGCATATGCAATCTGGCATAACGACGGATACATGATTAAATGACAAATGACAAGTTTTTGACGTAAGCAATGGGAACAGGTATAACAAAAGAATACAAGTTATAACAGAAGGGGCACTTCGCGGAAAAAATGAATTCTGCGGAGGTGGCCGAGATCGTACCTACGGTGGTTAAAATTCTGCGATCACGATTCTTTGCCTACATGGTACCGAAACAGATAAAGAAGATATATCCAGGCAATTGATCGACAGTATCCGAGGCCGCCGGACTAGGGTCGCATGACTTTTGTACGTACAGGGGGTGGTGTTCTCGAATCTCGCATGCCACATATTCTCACAAGCGACACTGGAATTTTAATTTTGTGATTCTTGTCATCGTTTGTCACTGTGCCTTCACTTTTGTCAAGCAATTAGTTATTTAGCTATATAACACGGGTGTTGTAAAGAGGTGGCCAAAAGTGATGAAAAAAGTAAGTATTTCCAAACTCCTACTTTGTCTTTTGCCATTTTGTTGAACGGTGAAAAAATCTCGAATGCTTCATTCATTGTCACATGGCCTTATTAGTTTCGCCAGATTTTGTCGAATGAAAAATGTCGATTGGACTTTATTAGTTTCGAGCGACATTTTAGCTATCTTGCACGCGACTATTTGACATTCGAGATTACCTCCCCAAGGCGATTCACGATAAGATATTGCTGCGTGCGTGGCTGCAAAACAAAGGAGGGAAGGAAGTCTGCTAATGATGTTAGGCAAGCCTTGTTATACTATCCTATTTGATTTTTTTATATAGGAGCATTGGTCGAGGTGTAATTGACAAAGCGTATCCATCCCATTTATATTATATGGTTCATGAGTGTAACATATCAAAAAGGAGATACGATAAAGGACCAGCACAAGCCATATGGAAAATGGACCCAACTCGATTTGACTAAAAAATCAGTATATTTCTTGCCCTCATGTGCCTCATTTAAAAAAATGGTGTATGTGCCTATTGTAGTTCTCAGGTCAAAAACTCGGGGAATGGGGAAATCAATGTACTAAAATAAATATTTCGTTAAAGCACCGTATATGTTGATCGTGACTATAATATAATAACGTCAGTTTCAATGCAAGTTAATTTTCATATGTTTATGCAGGAATAGATCTGGCACGAGCGTCCCGAGAATTCAGAAAACTCAATAGGACAAGTAGCTTTTCAAAGACACAGAAAAGTCGTGGTTGTTTCCTCGCCGTTGATTATGACCTTGACAATGTCAAATTAAGGTCATATTAGTTTTGAAGGTGGAAGGGAAAGAAAATGTACACTAATGTTAACGTAGCTTCCGTGTATTGTATTTTTATTGGCGATTAAATTTAGTTTTATTATTTTGGCCTACTTCCGACATATCGAATGGTTTGGGTCAACTTTTTCGACGAATTACCAAAATCCAGTATCACGGAGCACAGTGATTTCCTCCAATAGGTGAAGGCATTTTCAAATTTATACCCAACCGATATAATCCGTGATTTAAAAAGTCGTTTTTATTGGTGAATCTAGTCTAGACACTTCCCAGAAATGTTTTGTAACAAAGGACTTCAAACGGCGTATGGAGGTGCAAAAGCAATCTCATTCAATCTGGATCTGATTTAACATTTTTTGCAATTACATATTTTGTTTAAGGCAGAAAAAGTTACATTCAATCGATACTTTTTGTAAATTTCCAAATGCATTAAATGACATAAGCTGTGCCCTTCAAAAGCTACCTGTTCTTTAAGTTTCTTGAATTTTCGAGCATCTCGTGCCAGATCTATTCCAGCATAAACATACGAGTATGAAAATCTGAAACTGGACTAGTAAGGGATCATGGGCACGAACATAACACCTCCCGACAGCGTCTTATATAAGGTGTTTTAACGGAATATTCATTTTAGTATACTGAGTTGTTGTTGCCTGTAGAAATCGATAAAAAGGTACTTGACCACCTGTAGGCGAGAGGTACCCGTTCTGCCATGCCAAGCTCCTAAGAAGTGCCCTATTTTAAGGAAAATGTCGTCATCATCAAGATGCCCGAACATCAAAGGTTTTTCCATGACTCTTCTATTATAACTGTATTCTTTGGTACAACAAACCAATATATAACTGGAGTCAAAAAGAACTATGATTTTCCCTACAAATATAACTGTGACATTTAAAAAAAAGATCATTCGATAACAATTTTCCGATACAAAATGGACATTACCTGAGAAATTTTATATTACGCCCGAAAACTTTTTTATATCTTTTTTTTCTAATTGGGCACACAAAAAGGTTCAGAGAGGGTCAATTTCTAGAGTCTTAAATTGGAATTTTTGAGGACCATTTAGCGCTTCCTATTACATTCCAAGTGCGTACTAGGGAGAGGGGAGGTGTGGCAAAGGAAGGGTTGCCCCCTTTTCCCCTAGCCTTGCAAAAATTAAATGGAGAGAACATTTTTTACTAAAATTGATTTATACATGTACAGGGTTTTCCACAAGCTTAAACAATATCTATTGGATAATAAATTACTAGGATTAGTTGAAATCTATGTATAGATATAAACTTAATTTTAGTAAAGTAACTATATATGTTACGTGTCTAATCTAGTTTTTGGGATCTCGGAAATGTCCAGCAAACAGCATTTACGGTGGTCCGTACAGTGTATTTCTGCGTAACATTATGCATCAATAATTACTGACGTCCAGGCTACTCGGTCAATAAATATCACATCTCATGATAAATGTACTACCCGGAGTACTTTATGGGGACAAGTTCCGTAGAAAAAATGGAACTTGGACAGTTTGGGAATTGAAAGTATTTCCGAATTTACTCTGACTCGTTTTTATTTTTCCTGTCTCACACAATAGCATTACAACTTTTTCTCTTCTAAACTAAACTACTAAATAACATTTTTTATTATGGTATATAGTAATGGAGATATTGTCCAATTAGACACTAAAAACTTACCCTGTATGTCTAATTTGTTGCAGCATTTAGGTCGCTGTATAGCTTAAGCATTTTTGAATATTTTTTTTTCTATATTAAATTTATTTAACTTTTGGCTCTTGCAGTTTTCAGCAAAGAATGAACGATTATTTGCAATAACCAATTAGCCCTTGCAATGAACTGGACCATTTTGGAGGTGTTTTCATCCCTTTCTTAATTCTTCTATAAACATAACGTTCAAGTTTGGCAAAAAAGTTACCCAGAGTTTGTAATTTCCAGATGAGGGCCTTTGCATTCACTCTAAATAATATATAAATCATTCTGTACAATTTGTTTTAGAACAGGGTTCACATTTGGCTTGCTTGAATGTTTCAAAAAAGTAATCATATTAGTTTTCTATATCCATATGAAAAATATCGAGCATAGTTATGTTGATATGATGTGTGGAACTTCCTCCAAAAATTTTTTAAAGGTGCCCACCCTTCCGTTTTTGAGCTGGGTACGCCCTTGGTACATTTAAATACGGCCATGGCTTCCAATACCCTATACATCATTATTCTCTCACTTTTTACTCAAACAACTTTTTTCAGGAATGTACATCCATCCAAGATGCACGGACAACCAATACTTTGCTAACTGCGCGTTGATAGTACGAGCTAAGGTGTGTACGCATAAGTATTATGCCAAGTTTTGCTGTCGATCGTGTACAGAAGCCGGGCAACTTCCTGTAGATGGACCACATCTACAAGGTCTTATCAATGACAAACGGAATGCACTGGATACGAACTTGGTATGAAGAAGCGATGGGAAGTTCTAGTCTCGAGAATCAAAAACTGATATAGCGAAAACGACGTGCAGTGTGCAGTGGTAATAGGAAACAACGCATGAACTGAAATAAGCATAGAGAATCTTAAAAATATCAATATCGCAGGTTTTGTTATGTCCCAAAGTAAGTACAAATTGGCCAAAACAAACATGAAGAAATTACTATCTAATATCATGGCAATACTTTCACAGTTGAACATTTATTTACTCAGATACACCTCTATTGATCATGTTCAATTATTGCAGTTCATATGACAGTTTGGAGACGTCTCCATTAGTAACTCGATGCCAGCAACACAAAAACACCTTACCATCTTAATAAGTATCTTTTGAAGGAGATTCCAGTGTCTACATAAAAGCCTTGATGTAAATTAAACAATGGGTTTATCTAGATTTTTTAAGTCCTGAACAAAACAAACGCGTCATTTTCATATATAGAATCAAATGGGTGCAAGTTAATTTTTCAATGAGAAAAAAACTGAGCCCTGAATTCTGTTTATGAAAAACTGTTCAACAGTTGCAACCTTAAAAGGCTCGCCGATTGAACATTGACTAATCACCACAAGAATATTTTCCATTTGAACAAATCTAATATAGCTCTAAGTAATTATTTCATTTGCTTGCATGAGGGAATACAAATTCAATACGTTGTTATTTTTTGTTCCTATTTCGACAAAATTTCTAAATTACTGTAGATTTTTTTTTGTTAATTTTTGTAGAACGAACGCATTTTATACCATAATGTTTGCTGATAGAATGCAAGGAGACATATCCCAAAAAGTCTAAGGTAAAATAGTACAAATAAAGTGGAGCCTTCATTGGTAGTTCAAAACAAAACTCAAATTATTCAGTTGACAAAAAACCTATTATTTATGTTTACAATAAATATTACATTCAACCTTCCTTCACCCCATACCGCATGGGCGAAGCCAGCAGTACCGCCTAGGGTGGGGGGTTTATCAAAAGAAAAGTGTCGCAGATTGTAAAAATGGTCTTCAGGTCCTCCTATCTGGAAAAAAATGTCTCTACCTCCGGGGCAGAATTGGGTGAGGGTGGTAGCTTACTGCTAGTTGATTTTTGGAATTAATTCAAGTATATAACAAACCTTTTGTTAATTTTTCAAATTGCCGAAAATATTTCAAGAAAAAGAATGAAACAGGTATACTGATTTACAGTTCGCCTTTTGCTGCTAGCATAATTAGACAAACAAGAAACTAGATGTTGGGTTGCAACTGGTTAATAGGTTTTTTATTTTTTAATTATTTAATAAAAGTGTCACCAGTTTATTGATGTCAAGTCACTCAGCTGACAGAGTATTACCCATCTCAGTCGTTTAACCTGACACAGAAAGGGAAAATTCTCAGGTATTGAACTGTTTTAGTTTCAAATCGCAAGTGTTCCCTGTCAGAGTATCTTTACGGTAATGCCGGTATTTCTTTCAATAAATATTAGAAAATAATTAAGATTTTTAAAAATTCCGAAAATAAACACTTTATTCCAAAAAGTTCCTGTAAAATTTAGGTTCCCGATCCAAAAAGTACCGCAAATCGGCCGATTGACAACAGTACGTGGTCGATGACTGTACAAAGTAAGGTTATGCTTTTGCAGCTTTTGGCGCCACTATTTGTGCACAACAAGGTGGTGGGAGAGCCACCTCTGGTGCACGAGAACAGAGAATTGAAAAACACCTGACAGCAAGCTGACTCCTCCACCTCGACTATCACTTGCACTATATTTCACAAATAGTCACACTGCAGGGGTGAAATCAAACAACAAATAATAATAATAATAAAATTGATAGTTGCGAGATTCATGCAGCGCTGCAGTTTTGAAACTTCAAATTTTAATCAAGAAGTTATATAAACTATTATTCAGAATTCACTAACAATACCCAACCTACTTTCCAAATAAACAATTGCTTTTTGGAACCAGGATCAGCCATGAGTGCAAATGCAACAGATCGTGTATTTTGCTTCCAGTTACGTGTGTACCTCATTTTTTTTATTTTTATTATTGAAGTTTTTAAATTCATCACAGCATCTACATCTAAATAATTTCTTGGTACTTCTATGAAACTGAAAACAATTACCAAAAGATGAATTCACTTGAAAACGACACCTGGTACCATTTAAATTTTATAATATATACAAACAAAAACTTCATGATTTACTCACATCAACAGTCAAAGGAATTCTTCCAAGTAGTAAGCTTCATCTTGTTATCAGCAGAAAATAGTCCATTGGCATTGGCAACAACAATCACTTACACTAATCAGCCAACAAACACTTACACTACACGGCTATGATAACTACATCCACTTATTTTATAAAATTTCATTCAAAAACGTCAAAAATAGCAAGACCTTTTGACGCGACGCGTACCACTTAACATTTCACTGTGCATAAAACAAACAACCAAAGCAAACTATGATTTGCCAAAAACATATATACAACGCCGGGTTGTCGGATCCTCGGGTAGTCAGTCCGGCGCGGCTTATTTGGCGGTTAATTATAGGCCAGGACAACTAGACAACACCAAGATAAAGGAGTATTATAGGTGTTAATAAACTATGTAGACAAACTTTAACCATCGAATCCTTGGTCAATTTGAAGACTAAATGTTCATATGGACATGGGTCCGTAACGGCGTTCTTTTCGAGCTAGAGCACTATAACTAAAGAAATACGAGTAATGTTCCAAATAGTGAAACGTATTTATTGGGCAGTTGGTATAACCTATGATGAATTTTGTATGTTTTACAAGTTGCTGAGGCTGCGTGGATGAAAATAGTATTATCCTGTATTTTTGGAAAAAAATTATTTAGGTCAATAGTTAAACATTAAAAGTATTGCGATCTAAACAAATCAATTACATGTTACTTTTTCAAAAAATACTGGATAAATCATGTGATATTCACCACAGGGCATACTTAATTAAAATAAAATATGTTCCATTCTTGTATAATTTTTTAGAACAGCATCATTTCTTTTAGTGCTAATATGCTCTAGCTTGAGAACAAAGCCGTTGTGGACCCATGTTCATATGGAAAATTCGTCTTCAAATTGACCAATGATTCGATGGTTAAAGTTTTTCTACATACTTTATGGACACCATGTATCTAGGTAGTAAAAATAAACAAACTTTTACGGACTATGGACCTGAAGATTGCCCCGGAATTTGATCGTATTCAAGTTAATAGCATTGAAGTGAATAATCTCATGTTTGCAATACATTTCATGTGAATCAAAGTATAGCCTTGTTGAAGGGGCATTTTAAAAAAACTTCTTGTTGTAGTGTTTTATCCTTATCCACGTCCTCTCGTTCCAATTTTTTTTTTTTTTTGTTTTTATCGTTTATCCATAAAATGACTTCAGAAGACAACTGTGGAAGAATTGGCCTTGTACAATCCATTTTTTATTTGACCAGAAACCAAACGTACTTATATATACTTCACTGATGAATTTCAAAATACCTACACATACATGACTTGGACAGAACAGAACATTGCAACATGCCATATCGACATGCAGGGCCGACTACAGGAAGTAAGCAAGTGAAGCGCCGCTTCAAGACGCAGTGTCATGGGTGGCACAAAATTCTCAGTTAACGTGGGTGCATATTTTATCATTTCCCTAAGGGAGCATAAATCTCTGAAGCCGGCCTGTCGACATGTCTTTATATTATTATGTATCTGATTCAAAAGATTAGTTATTAGTCTAATCATATTAGACGAAAATACCTCTGGTTTGCGAAATAATTGTGAAGCCTGGTTTTATTGATGCAAGTTGTTCAATGGGGTATTTAAAACATGGACGCATAAAATGGGTACACCAATTTTTGTGGGAAAACTTTTTATTCGACAACAAAGAATGAGAAAACGTGTTTTTTGGGATTTCATCTAAAGTGTTGTTAGGAACGAAAAAACACTTCAAATAAAATTTTTAGGTATTTATTGAGACCTATAGAATGAGACCATACCTAAAAAAATCTAACTAATAATAAAAAATTTATGGCCGAAAACCGAGGCAAAATGGAGATTTTGGCACTTGTTGCTGATGCGACGATAATTTCACGTAACTACTTGAAATTGTTTAAATCCGAAGGCTTCTCACTTCTAAATAACCACAACAAAATTGGAGTCGATTGATCAGGTACTTTTTGAGAATTTCTAATTGTTTATCCGAAAACATCTGTCTTCCGGCCATCACTACTAGTTTATTGAGCAATATACAGGGTTCGTTCAAAGGGCATGTCATAGTAAAATACACAAGATATGAATTAAAAGCCATTCCGAAAGATCACGCTTATTTTTAGGGGAAAAACGAAGGTTTCCTTTTTTTCACCTAAACAAATTCAAACATTTCGTATTTGTAATTAACTGATCAGATTCGCTACGATATTCGAAAAACTTGCGTTATTATGCACATTTTAAAACAAAGCGGTGTCTATCACTTTTTGTGGCGAAGGAAAAAATTACTTACAAATTCGAAACGTTTGAATTTGTTTAGAAGAAAAAATCGTAACCCGTCGTTTTTCGCATAAAAATAACAATTATCTTTCAGAATGGCTTGTGATTCGTGTCGGCATAGGTAAACTCGTGTATTTTACTATAAAATGCCCCTTGAACGAACCCTGTATATTGCTCAATAAACTAGTAGTGATGGACGGAAGAAAGGTGTTTTGGGATAAACAATTAGAAACTGAAAAACTTGATCAATCGACTCCAACTTTGTTGTGGATATTTAGAAGTCAGAAGCCTTCGGATTTGAAGAATTTCTAGTAGCTGCGTGAAATTATCGTCGCATTAGCAACAAGTGCCGAAACCTTCAATTTGCCTTGCTTTTCGGCCATAACTTTTTCACTATTAGTGGCACCTGTTTACGTGTGGTCTCATAAATACCTAAAAATCTTATTTGAAGAGTTTTCTCGTGCCTGTCAATTCTTTCGATTGAATCCCAAAAAACACGTTTTCTCATTCTTTGTTGTCGAATAAAAGGTTTTCCCACAAAAATTGGTGTACCCATTTTATGCGTCCATGTTTTAAATACCCCCTTGAACAACTTGTATCAATAAAACCAGACTATACAATTGAGGCGTGTTTGAAAAAAACAACATATGTTCAAAAGAAAAAAATTTCAGGAAACAGAAAAAACGATCTATTTCAAAACTAATAATTATCTTGAATATCAACTATTAATAATAGCTTAAAAAATATGCTCTTTACTAAAAAATATGTAAGCTTAAGTAATCAAAAACATCCTTTTTTGTACTAGATGGTCACTAACTCAGTTTCGATAAATTTGAACTTATGCGGTTTTTGTAAAACACACCTCAATTATTTCGGGGAATTTGCTAATATGATTACACTATATAGTCTGCGAAAAAGTATGAAAGTCAAATATTTACATTAGTGAAAAAAGTAATAAATTAATTTGAATAGGAATCGACATTTTTTAGTTACCTTAACAGCACGTCGTGAGATGATACTATCATTGATAGTAAAATGATGATTATTTATTTTTTAGTTTAGTATTAAGAGGTATTATCTTTTTGTGAGAGAATATGCCTTTTGATATCCGCAAGTTTACGAAGGTCAGTATAAGTTAGTGGCCGATTTATGTTGTCCCGTATTTAATTTGTTGTATGATACGGCCATTTTTAAGAAAACCAGAGATATATCAAATCATATATCATAAAAAGCATATATTTTTCATTAAAATGACCAATGATTAGCGTTCTGTAAATTAAAAGTATTAGCATTAATCTATTAAGCGTTCAATATTAGATGAATAACATTTTAATCATTGGACGGTTTTATTATAGCACGTATAGTGGGCCATTCAAGAAATATGATTGTGTACATAAAAATAAGTATAGCTGTATCACTTACGTATATTAAAAGTATCATACCAATAATAATACCAATAATATTGAAAATCCATACCGTGTTTGTGATTTTTACTAAACATTATAGATTTTTTCTTCGCCATTTCGTTTGGTTTTCTTAAAAGTGGTTCCCATTGTAATCAGTGCCAAATCTCTTAAATTGTAGATACACTTTATATTTTCGTATTATAGGATATAACTGTGCAATTCTACATTTACTTTGTATATACTACTTTTAACATCACTATTTATAAGGCTATCTGTAAAGAATTGTGTTAAATACAAAACCAAAATATGATAACGATTATTATTATTTCCAAAATTCTATGGACATTATAAGTTGCTGTGTAGATTTAAATATGACACTATTTGATTGTGAGATTTCCATGGGACTGTGAAAACGAATAGAAAGAGTTGAAAGTGAAATGAAGGTATTCTTTCTCAACCCAGATTTTAAACTGTTTCGATTATTACGCACCCTTTAGGATTATGCCATTCACTTGGATTTACTACTGAACTAGATATCAAAGTTGATGCATACTCGTTCCCATGTGATGAATAGTTGTTAGGCGATCACGTATTTAACCTAGATAATAAAATAAATATTATGAAAAATCGGCCACTTCAGGGGCTTTATCTTTTTGCCGAAAATTCAGTATTTTATCAAAGTTTTTCAAAACTGATATCCAAATCTATTTCTATTAGTTACTTGCAGCGGATAAGCTGTAATGTTGTTACGTAGAAACAGATGTCACTGCGTCAATGATATGAGAACAATGTATTTCAATAAATACCTACTACAAATATAATACTATAGGGAAACATCTCTCAAAGCAGCCTGTTTTTCAAGACTAAATAATTACTACCGACAAACAATTATTGCAAACATCACCCACTGATAGTCATTGTTCAGTTTTATCGTAGTTTTATCAGTTTTTGCAAGAGCCAACCAGTTTTCAAACAAAAACCCATCGAAACATGGCGAAAGCCGAAAACATTTCAACGAACTACTAAATGCCAGACTACTTGCCACTACCATACCAGTCACTGGTCAGCTGATATCAGAGTATATCGTTCTTTTTACTATTCGTATATTTCGGTAGGTCTATAAGTTTGCGTATAATATTGAGCTCTTATTATTGACCTGAGGTCTGAAGCAATTCTTTCAAATGTTTGAATTGATCTCAAGAAAAAATGGAAATGTGCATTATATCTCAGCCTCGCCTCATAAATAAGTTAAGATGTAGTAACTCCGATCCACCCCGAACCTCACACATTTCAAAGCAAAGACGAGCCGGTCCTGCTCTGTCTACACCTGACCCCGCGCCGCTCACAGTTCCAGTCTTCGTGTGCCGAACCGAGCGCATAGTATGTATACAAAAATCTGCAATCGAAGTTGCACATACCTCCTTCATCTTCTGCCCTCCAAATATACCGAATTTTCAACGTCGCGTTAGCGCCTGAGGTGATTCAATAAGCATTTAGGTAGTGGTGAAATGATATGGATTGTAAAAGAGCTAGAGTCACTCCATCGTTAAAACAGTTTTTAGCGAGGTGTCTGAAATTACATTGTGGTATCCAAAATCCTAGAATTGCAGAACATTGTCTTGTTTTACGTGTCGCGCAACTAGCAGGAAGTAGGGTGCTAATATTTCGATGTTCCGCTAATGATGTAAAGGCGACTATTGTTATTCCAACATATTATATGGAATTTGAGACATCGTCGCTTGAGTTGTAATACCATGAAACGCAAAAAAATAGCTTATGTATGTATTTGCTTGAAAAAGTATGTCGGAATATCATCAATAGGCACTATTAGCTTATGAGGTTTCATTTGCGACTAGACAAACATGGAGGATTATAAGATCATTCGATAGCGACTCCAAAGGCCCACCGTTCTTTTTGCTCTCCTAAAAAATTGTTAGTTTTAAGTTACACCGACATGGAACTCTTTTTATTGAGCAACTAAATTTTTGTGATGCATGGGTGGGTAGTACCAAAAAGGAGAAAATACGATACAAATTTATTTAGTTTTACATTATACATCAATGAGTAATGGCAAACCTTTCCAAAGTAGATTGTTCAAGTATATTGCGAGAAAATAGATGTCATGTTCAATTTCTTTATTTAATTTTATACTCCTCAGTCTACATTATTCATGTTCAATGAAAAATAAATACGAACATTTAAAAAACAGTGATTTTTTTAATCTCCACTGAAAAAGCTTTTAGTATGTAAGCACACAGTTTGAAGAATGTGCTTTCTTTTCTGGTTATTAAGTTTAGCGCCCTTACACTCATTTTCAAACTTGTGACCGAACAACAATCCATTCCAGCCTCTGTTAGAATCAGTATAGCAGTTACTTATATTGCACAATGTCAAGGAAACCAGAACGACAGGTGGGTTATCGCCAATGGGTGGAACGCTAAAACACTCTACGTATTTTTCAAGCCTATTTTCCAGGAAATGCTATTTATCATATATCATTGAAAACATAATAATATGGATTATCCTGTATAAACACAACTACTTTATGACATGTCAAACTACGCATTGAAATCAATAAAATTAAAAGTACAAGCACAGTAAGAAGCGACGTAGAAGTCGAAGGTTGAAAACGTGTTTATCTGAATTGCAGCTACAAGTTGACGCTTTGAACAGGGCACACCGAAATCAGACCACTTGTCAGTCAGAAGAAGAGGAAACTCAAGACTATGACTGATTCGGAATGTATGTTCATGGAAACGCGTTTTTGGTAACGCGTGACAGAGGCTCACTTTATAGCACAGCCATTTTTGGTAATTGCATAACGTACGGGACCCTGATGTAATTTTTTGGCAATGACATAATGGATATTTTGGCAATCCATTCATGGATTTTTGGTAATCCATATCGAATACAACAGTATGGTCATTTTTTGGCGATGGCAGATGTGAGTATATCGTGCTTTTGGTGGCACAACGATACAGGAGCTTATGATAGCAGCGTGGTCATTTTTGGCAATGACCGAATGGATTTTTGGTGATCCATGTCAATTGCAACATAATACGGTCACTTTTGGTAATGACAAATGTAAGTAGATCGTGTTTTTGGAGGCACCAGCACCTTAATGTAATATTATACTCTTTTTTTATTTCTTAAATATCATTTCGTAAAAATGTTTGCCATCCCTTCGGACACACTCTTCTAATCGCGCGAGCAAATTCTGAAACGCTCTCTTGCAGAGTTCCGGAGTGATGATATTTATTTCTCGTCAAATGTTGCCTTTGCTCCTCCAGTATTCGTGGATTATTGGAATACACTCTTGTCTTTAAATAAATAGATAGCGTTTATTGCTTATATGTTAAGGAATCCATTTACAGCACAATCCTAAGATAAATCAAAATAACAAGAACAGAAAACACATCAAAAGCAGGTGATTTCATCTAAAGAAAAAAACAAACAAGAAAAAGAAGCAAAAATAAACATATTTCACTCAGGTGAGTAACATATCATAAATTATCCAAGCAATTCCTAGCTACTCCCAGAATGCTGTTCAAACTCTCAGCATGTATATCACAATCTTTTGATATTGCATTGAAAGTTTCACACATCACATATGTATATGGGTGCCTTCAAAAACAAATTTGTGCGAGCCCTGTCACAATAAAATGTTTTAGCTGTACGAGTTTGAATAGATTAAAGTTTATTTGGGCCACAATCCTATTAGCATCAATTTGATTATGCAGTAGTTTATGCAAGAACGTAAGTGATGCACACTTCCTTCTCGGTTCTAAAGACTGCATTTGAAACCTACACAATAACAAACTTTCAGATATACCACGTTCAGGATATATACCGTCAACTTTAAAAGATAAAAATTTTAGAGACTTTCTCTGAACATGCTCAAGAGAATCAATGTAGCAGTTGTAAATTCGGTTCCAAATTAACGATGGATATTCCAATTTCGATCTAATATATGCAGAATACAAAACCAACAGTGACTGGGCGGCTAAAGCTTCTAGTTTCTCACAGTAAAACCGTACGCCCGCGAAGCTTCACTCACCTTTTGAGCTATGTGACGTGACAAATTAAGTTTATGGTCAAAAACTACACCCAAATCTTTAATTGAGTTATAACGATTTATGTAAGCATCCCCACTTTTATAATTAAATTTACCAGCAGAAGTTTTCCTGGAAAAGGTGACTATACTACACTTAGTCGCATTAAGAAATAAATTATTCTCGTCACGCCAAGCCACTAGAGAATCAATATCACGCTGAAGTGCAATACAATCAGTCTCAGACTCAATAATCCTGAATAATTTTAAATCATCCGCAAAGAGGAGCTTATTACAACTTAAATCATGCAGAACATCAATAAATAAGGTAAACAATAAAGGACCAAGATTTGAACCCCGAGGCACTCCCGATTTAGTTATATACTGGTACGACTTGAATCCATTAAAAGTAACACATTGCCTCCTTTCATGAAGATAACTTTGAATGAGAGCTAAAGCTGATGAATGGAATCCACAATAAAAAAGTTTATTCAAAAGTATGTCATGGTCTACCCTATCGAACGCTTTAGCAAAATCGGTATATATTATATCTAGTTGACCTTGCCGATCGACACATTCAATAGCGAACTGAGTGAAGATTGATACTTTAGATAACCTCACAAAAAATAATCGCATGGCGTGAGGTCGGGTGACCTAGAAGACCAGTGAATGTCTCCAAACTTCGATATAACTGTTTGAAGAAACAGTGCTCTCTGGAAGTATGGGCAGTGGCCCCATCCTGTTAAAACCATGTATTTCTGTTAAATAGACGTTCTGTTCTTACAATAGGATCAAAAAAGAGTGTCCTTGTATCGCGCGGAATTGACTGTCATTGCATGATCGTTTTCATCTTCAAAGAAATACGGCCCAATAATACCGCTAGAGCAGGAGTTCCCAACCAGGGAGGCACGCCTCCCAAGCGGGCATAGAGAGATGTCAAGGGGGGCGGAAAGAGTTTGCAATTTAGAAAGAAAAAACAAAAAATAAACAAACAACATTAACAAATAACATTACAACGTAATGTTTGATTTACACGCATAAAATTAGAAATTAGATATCATATTCACTTATTCTGTCAACCGCTGTTTCAAAACCGCGCGTCGTCATTCGCAGTTTACGCCGGGAATACACTTGAGCCGAGGCAAGCCGCGCACCGAACGAGGCAGCCTCGGCGCGCCGCGATGTGATTTCAATCTAGGGAGGTATGCAGCATTTGGTGATTGGATAGGCTTTATCTCCTGTTATGAATTCATCCTCTTCAAAATAGGCATTAATGTTATTTTCAATTCACGAAAAATGTCAGAATTTCTGAAAATTCTAATGTCTGACACTGAACTGGGGTAACCAGTGAAACAATCAATAAACCTCAAATCTGGTGTGCAAATACATTGTAATATCATACCTTAGAAGCATTTTCTATTAATATATACCTCTAGGTTTGATTGTGGTGCTTTTATTGGTACATATGTTCCATCTATTGCACCAACTACCCCAGGCAAGTTATTAATATTTTGGAACTGCCTCTTAATGCTCTGCCGCTCTTCTGGTGGAGGCCACTTGATGACTTATGGCGCAATTCCATTTAAGGCAGTGACAACCCTGATAAAGCAGTTGTATAGGGTCGACTTAGCCATATTGAACCGGCTGCCCACTGACCTAAAGCAATGATATATATTATATAGGTACACGGTGGGGCAAAATGGAGGGGCGTTTTTAGAATGGCTAGTACACGCAAACGGGTGGGGGCAGAGGGCCGCGGTAGAAGGGGTATTAGTGCATTACCTAAAGCTATCTGGAGTTGCTAGAAGCCATAATACCGACAGCAGCTGATCCTCTACTGGTACTTGAAATTTCCCTAAACTGCCTTCTGCTCGTTTCAAGCACGGTAACAGTTTGTCTTTCAAAATCGAGAAAGGTTTCTCGGGTGACTCGGAAGTCATTCTGGAACACCTTGTTGGAATAACTATTTACAACATCTCCAATGAACTTTTTGATCCGTGGTGGAAGTCTACGGTTTTCGCTACCCTCTTCGTCTTCGCTCGAACTACTCGAACTCGAAAACAATTCCATCTTCTCGAAGAAATGTCAAAAAAACTTTGTACAAATGATGCTCATCAATGCAAAACAAAAAAGCTGGGTTAAGAGTGTTTATCTTGCAAACGTCAAAACGTTCATATTTGAGGTGTGTTTCCCATATTATTCGAAACACCCTCAGAACGCTCGCACTCCGACAGCGTTCTATAAATGTGAACGCAGCCCTGCAAGAGGTTTACACTTTTATTGTATAACTGTTACCTGCAGCCCTTATACAACCTCTTAGATGACTGAAGTGTCCTATTAGGTGTGCCCATTCCGCTTGTATAGCTGTTCTAAGAGCGGTTTGCCAATGTTCTTACAGCATACAATGCTGAGTAAGGAAGACTGTATAATCGTTCTTGCAACTCTAATAGGAGTAATTGTTAGTTGGGCAATATGGCACATGACAAGAAATCCATTTGTTGTCGGTGTGTTACAATTAACACAATTTCAGGAAAAATTTCTAGAAATGAAGGCTGATTCGTCCATGAAAAATGACATCCATCTTTTAACATTGGAGAAATTTTGGATCAAAAGATTGCCTGTTAATTCGACACTTGCCTCTCTTCCTTTACGAATACAAGTTCCTTTTTCTTCAACTTTCTTATGTCAGACAGGCTTTTCTGCTCTAGTTTTAATTAAAACTAAACAGCGAAATCGTCTTGATGTCGATAGCGACCTGATCATAGCTCTGGCAAAAACAGAACCTAGAATCAACCAACTGGTACAGAACATGTAATCTCAAGTGTCCCATTAGTACCTACTCTTATTTTATTCAAATTTTTCGATAAAAAACATTTATCAGTTTAATTAAACTTTTAAAGATTCTTTATGAGAATTAAAATAAAAGTCTTTGTACCTATATAATGTGCGTTTTTTTTGTATTTATGGAAAAAGTAAAGGGGGGCATGAAAATATAATTTATAGTCCGGGGAGCCTCAAAAAAAAAGGTTGGGAAACCCTGCACTAGAGGACATGACGCACGAAACAGTAACCTATGGACTATGTAGATGTTGTTGATATTTCTCTTTTGGGTTTGTTGGTGCCCAATATCTGCAATTTTGTTTGATCACATATCCGCCCGAGTGAAGATGGGCCTCATCACTGAAGACAACGTTCTCGAGTCTGCGCTACGTAGGAAAAAGATTCAACATCCGTTCAGCACAAGATTTCCGTAATACGTAATCACTTTCCTTTAAAGCACGTACTTATTGGATTTTATAAGGATGAAAAACCATTTTTTTCTTCATTATGCCAAGCAGTGTTGACCTAGGGATTCCCAAAGCAGCGGAATTCTTCCATACAGAACGGCGAGGATTTGTAATGACCGAATCACTTACTCAGCGCACAGCGTACAGTAAGTGTGGAGCCAGGAATGTTAAGAGTAGAGCCTGTTTCACGGAACCTCTTAATCCACTTTTTCAATAGGATCTTACTTGGGGCATCTCTTGGTCGGTGAACGTTGTATCGTGTACAAAATTTCCGAAGGGCAGCGCCGTATGAATCTCCACTCTTAAAGTAAGCCTTGATAGCAAAAGCACGTTGCGTTGCAGTCCAACGTTCCATTGTGACTATTTGACCCGCACGACGAACGCGACGATCAAGACCTCTCTCCCACTACCTCGCGTATACAGTTGCCGCGAAATTCAAATTTGAAATGTGAACTTCCCCACTGGACACCTTGTACAAAAAAATGCCATATGGATGTTTCCTTGATTCTTCCACGGAAGTGCAAAATTGACGTGTTGTAGTTATTTGGGAGAATTGAAAAACGAAGGTAACACTATCATCCATTTTATTAAAACCCAAATTTATACAGCTTTATTATATACTAAAACATGAATGTGAAAAGAACACAAGCAAAAAATAATTAAGTGATTCACTTAAGAAATATTTACAATCAGATAACAATACTGTGGTCCTCTGATCTTTGACCAGGGCTCTACATTTAAATTCATGATAGAACGCTCTACTGAAGCAGAACTTTATTGTGTAATGTTACACACTGTTTGACGAGAGAACAATACAATACGTTTTCTGCAATTTGTTAAAACTCCGTTCTTTTGGCATGCAAAATATATCACAAAAACATGATCCTGACCTGACGTGTGATAGTATCTGTCATAAAATAATTCCAATGCAAAAAATAACGACCATAAATATTTACTGGCCGTAAATGATTCTATTTTCCAGATAAATATGGATGACAGTTGGCTTTTATCCACAGTCAAATAAAAAGCTATGTATTGTCCTTCCTTCAACCTAAGCGCTATGTAAATGGAAAAAACTTCACTTCCTGCAATGACAAAAAGTATATACAAAAACAAAAAAATGAACGTTTACAATCGTGATAAATAGAAGTAGTCATGTTGTGTATTGAGCACGACTGATTGACACTTAATACGTTATAACAACACAGTTTATGTCTAGCTAACCTATATTTGTTTTTTTTAAAAGCCTAAATAATACTATAAACATACCATTCATTCAATGTACCGTATTGTCCAATCCATGTTCGCACTTTCAAAGACAAACCAGTTCATTATTCACGGATATTTTTGAAATACCAAATCCCGTATAGAGACGTTTGCAGGCAAAAAGCATGTTCACAAAGAACTTGTGCTTTCCTTCACTTTATAAAAAGTTGAAATATCCACTCCACTCAAGCAAGTACAGTACTATCGATAGTTCTGAAATCATGGAACTCCATTCTACTCAAGTGTTTTAGAAACAATGAACTTACCCTGTCCCAAAAAGATTGGTTCCACCAGTTTCTCGAAACTTTGCGAATTACATTTAATGGCACCAATATTACTAAGATCTGGTATCATATCCCACTACACAGTACTGCACTATTATTAAGGATCCCCCAGACCGATGCGAATATTTCGCGGCGACTGCGATTAATTCGCGATGATAATGTCGCTCAGAGACTACTCTCGTAGAAGTAAATAAACAAGAACAGACCAGTGCGTCAGTTTCGCGATGAGATGTGCGACAGTACAGCGTCTAAATTTTAATTCGCTGCTTGTAAGGTTTTTATTCGGTGTCGCAATGGCAAATACTGAAAAACTTCTCGAAATAATTAAACAATTTCCAATTCTTTACCACTTAAGTAACGAGGTCTATAAAAATGTTCGTAACAAAGACAAAATTTGCGATGATATAGGTGTATTATAATATGTTATATTATTTATGATTGGCATAGCTAAGCTGATCTTGACCAAAAATAGTATGAGTTGAAGTACTCAACAATTCTTTCTCGTGTATAAAATGCCAGATTCATTGCACGTCTTGAATCATTTTCGAAGTTAGTAAAGGCTTATAATGGATCTAGATTATCTAAGACGTATATATTTCGTAGAAATACATACCTACTTCGTATGTCCTCCCCCAAAGCGAGAAATGGAATTACGTCTTCTTAATCTGAAGAGTTCATATTTTAATTTGGTTTAAAAGCGACACTCTCACACCGTTTACTGTCATCCACTGCGATCTTTTCGCTTTGATTTGAAAAATCCCTCAAATATTTGCAGCAAATTTCGCGAGAATACATCGCGTGGGTCTGGGGATCCTTTAAACCTATAGCGATTTTGTTTTGATCTATTTATAAATTTTAGATAATAGTTACTCGATAAATGGTCAGATTCTTGGTTTGATGTAGTTCTCTTTTCCGAAACACTAATATGGATTCGACACTACGATGCCCAGGGACGCGGTGTAAGGGCGACTGTCCTTCAACAGAGAACTCGGCATAGACTGCCGCCCTTTATTAAAACGTCGCGCCTCAAGGCTTCGAAAAAACTCGCATCCGATAGCGCTAAGGCAACTGTAGTTTTCAACTGGAATGTATGAAACCACTATTGCAACTAATTATTCTATAATAGTTTGATAGGTTTAAAGTGGAATGAAACTGCTATTCAACAATACCATATACTTCATTACCAGTCTGTATGAAAATAACCCCACATAATGTCAAACCTGGATATAATCCTCCCTTATGCTCAATTTGATGATAATCTCAACAGTGATTACAATTCACTTGATATCTCTGTCCAAACATTCAATTGCTTTCCCAACTTATTTATTCCGACAGCATTGTCTCCGAATGGTAAAAGAAACTTTAGATGGAACCAAAATGATGCAATAAATACAACTTCACTGGACATCTAAATTACCCTGCTTGTCAAGCAGTATTCCATTTCTGTAATGAAGCACGAATGTGAAGGAATAGCTTCACTTATCGTATGTTACTGCTAACGAGATCTGTTAGATACTGACTACCCAAAATATTATTTCGCTCATCCTCTACCAGTATTTTCAATCCACTTTTAACCTACTGAATTATTATTCCGACAATGTTTTAGTTTGTTGTTGGTTGCATGTATGTGTACGTGTGTTTATATATTGTGTTATCCTGCTCTCACGAGACCTCTACCTGTTACAGAACCAATACAGAAATATCATCAATAAAACACGACCTAGGGAATACCCCGGCCCAAAAAATTATAACCATATATAGACCGCTTAAAAGCAGCGAATTTACTATAATAATTAGCAACATTATTTGTACAACGCTCGACAAGGAAGTGCAACTACGACTTTTCCATCGGAACGACAAATTGGGTGATAGAAGGAGCAGACATAAAATCACTTCGATGAAAAAATAATTTCATTGCAACCGCCGAACGGAACATGAATTCGAGAAAGTTCGATATCGCTTCACTTTGAAATCGTGCTCACAGAACATTATACAAATTACTATAAGTATTTCGTACATTTGCATACAACATGACGAGCACTGACTAAAGATACTGTATAGGTTCATCATATCATCGCGATCATCCCTATAATAAAGTGTCACTTAATTTTAGGTAATAAATTTATTCATATCAAAAATTAAAAATGACTTATGTTGATGTTAGAACATATACATTGAATAGAATCATATTGATTATTCGATGATTCCATTTTTTTTTCACAAAAAAAAAACAATTTTCTTAGTTTTTGGCATACACTGTTTTCCATCATTAGCATTCGTTGTCAAATTTCACGTGTTATGTGTTCCCAACAAGCACAATAGACTCGAGGCATCCATTCCAAGACAAGCGGCATATAAAAAAGAAATATTCACAAATAAAATGTGTATAAAATGTTTTCAATTCTTATAAAATAAGTAAAGCTTACAAAAATAACCATGATGGAAAACTAGCATACATCAAAGTCAAGCTTATGGAGGAGTATTTTTTTCATAATGTTTGAATTCTGAGTGGCTATTTTGTGGAAACTGCAGCTTTGAGATACTAGAATATGAGTAGAAAACTCAATAAAAATGACTCACACTGACTTTGTCCATATTTTCTTGTAGCTTCCGGAACAATGGTGTTATAGGATATAGTTTCATAAATTGTCAAAATATCCAGGTTCCAAAACAGTTCTGTAATCGCAATGCTGAATAACCTTGATGAATCTTTCTTATCAAGACAATCTGAAGGCAACAACCCAAGAATACCGAGTTAATTCGCAGTACAAACATCTGTCGGTATATACGACAGGAAGGAATACCGATTTACATATTTACCAGTTTCAAAATGGAACCAATATGTCACTTTGCTCGATCTTTGAATATAACTAATGGACCAAAGAAAATCACAACCTCAAACCTGCTACGCTTCCACTTGTGTTTTGGTAAACGACCTTACATTAAAACGAGTTAAAACAAAAAAAGAAACCTACTCCTTCTATCAGATTTTGTCGTGTTTGTAGGCGTGTCCCTATCGAAAAAACACTACGAGATGGGGGCTCGTCAACCATGGCTTCTGATGTAGCCATGAAGCCATGGCTTCGTCCACCCGACTGGTGGCAGTAGTACACTTGATATAGTAAGAACTTAATAGTAGGTCTCCTGTTCCAACCATCCTCCTGGGCAGCGACGCAAGTAGAACCGCCTCACTTCATCATAGATGAAGATCGCAAGAGCGAATGGAATGGCCGGAAGCCACCACACGAATCTGCAAGAACACAATGTCAAAAAATGTTGTTGGGCGCGGAGTTAGTGGGTATTGAAGGAGAACTGACTTGGGTAGAATTAGAATACACAGTATTCTGAATCTTATTCGGAATACATTCGGCTTGTACTCGAATGCTATTCGAATACATTAATTTGTGTGTTTGGTATTTGGTATTCGACTGAAAACTTTTTTGGTCAGTACTCGATATTCTGAATTCTGAATACCATGTCCCTGTCTGGCTTCGAGGCATACTTAATAGAAATAATTTAGAGGAAAACTCGTTTCTTGGTTAAATGACAGTTTGGCACTGCTAGGTCCCAAAAGGATAGTTTGACAAATCAAAATTTTCATATATTTGAAATCTCATCTCAAATTACCCCAGTGCATCACTCGTACCCACGGAAAATGAAAATGGAAATTTTGCGTTGAGAAATGTCAAAGTTTGAAGAATGTTTTTAAAAGTTGCTGCGTAATAATAATTGAAAGGCACCAAATGCTCAATTATTCTGGATACGTATTCCCGATACTTTATGGTTTTAAGTCCCACGCCGCTGGCGAGAATGCATTGCAATAGAAAATGAAATAGTTTTTTTATGTCACATTACGAAAAATCATGTCACTCATTTCTTACCGCTAAACATTGGTGCGTCTATAACCCTGAAAGTACCGTTCGGATTTTGATGAAATTTTCAAAAAAGGTTACTACGAAAAAGATTTGTAGTTTTTGAAAATCGGTCTAGTGCAGAGGTAGAGACAAAAACGAAAAAAAAAACGCCGAACTTGATTTTTTGACGTTTCAGAGGTTCCTGATCATTTTCAAAAGTTTGCAGTGGTTAAAAATTAGGGGTTCGAAAGTGTAGGAGATGAGTGAAGGCAGGTTAGGATTTTTTCACCTTAATATATGTATTCGCTTCCAACCATGGTAATTCCACGCTCCAATTAGACACATCTTAAAAATCATAGATTTCCCCGTACATTTGCCCTTAAAACTGAGAATGAAAAAAATGTTATCAACAAGCATCTCCTGATCTCTGGGTGCACTGGCGTCACGGTTTCACTGATGAGTGTCGTGTCGTGACTGTCGCACTGCCAAGGATGACAACTGGCTTTGGCGAGCGGTGAAATACGGGTGGGGGGCGAGGACTGTCGGTAGGGCAGGGAAAATTTTTTCTAAGGTCTTATTGTATAAGTCTGTTTAACTCCATTTAATTCATTTGTTATACATGCGCATAGTTTCTCTCTCATAGGGTCTAACTTGCACCGAACATAATCACGTCAACCTACGCCATTTTTTTGATAATCACATTCAAAATCAGAAACTCAAATTACACTAACGTGTGTTTCCTTTACTTCTAGGTAGCAAAAATGAAACTACGAAGTTTACTATAGAGGTTTTATAAAAAATTGGTATCTGCAACTTAAAGAGAAACTCGTTTCTTGAGTGAGGAGGGTGCGTAAATCACAAATCTGATGTAAGTTTTTCGTAAAAGGTAACAGAAGCTCAAAAGGTCCATTTCCCCACTCTAAGGCTTCCCGACACTTGAGCAGCTTTTGGTGCGCCTATATTCGAAATAGCGTTCCAAATTAGTCTGGCATACCGGAACGGCTATTACGTATCTAGAAGAGTGACACTCTTTTTTGTGACATAACGCACGTTTTTATCAAAGATGTTAACTAAAGCACAAGCTGTTGTACACTTGTGAACTCGTTTTATAGTTGTAAGTGTTGCTTAAACGTCAGCGAACAACGATCATAGCGAGCAAACGCGGAATGAACTATTTGCACGCTAAAAACTACCTAGTCTGCAAGATGATATTTCGTGAGTTTTTCTTCTCGTTTTTTAGGTTTTTTACATAATAACCCTGCCGAGCACCACGTTTCAGTTGCTCACAACCACGGAAGATAAAATTCAATGACATTTTGGAGAAAATTGTTAGAATATGTAGTTAAATGCATACTACTGAATGATCGGGTATCTGGAGTTTAGACGAACGCTCGTTTGTTTACAAAAAACCTTAAAAACCAAATCTAATGTTTGCCCATGATTTGTTCAGTATTTTATACTATTCAAGTAGGGGAGGCGGGGACGGATTGGTATACATGGTGTATTTTCTTCAAGCCGTGAAAATTGCTTGGGGTAACTGGAAAACAGTTGATTACAATCACCTCTTATTTTCGTAATCCAGAATAGGTGAAATTCATGATATACTTACTTGAGCGGGAACATGCGCAGCCCTTTATCCATACCAGGCGTGTATGAAAGGAATGCCGCCAAAGCTGTCTCAAAGATCAAACCAAAGTTCAGCGCCCAGTTGCGCATACCTTGGTGGACGATAGAGTTACGACGCGTCTTACAGATGATCAAATCCGCCCATTGCACCACTACGATGGACACGAAGAATGCGGTGTGACATGTGTATTCTAGGGTCTTTCTGTCGCGGTATGTCTGAGAAAAGAGGATAGAATGTTGTCAATCTCTGTTTATGATTGAAACGATAAGAATATTTTATGTATACAACAAGGAATATGCGATGTTTTTGTTTTTGCTTCCAGTTTAAAAGTTCCCATGTAGAACAGTTGACAGTACATAAACAAATCAAAACAATTTGTTTTAAAAAAGGCTGCTTTGAGTTATCAGCTTAAATTTTACCGCAAAACCGACCAACAGTTATGAGACACTATTATATGTTATCGCCGAAGTGGAAAATTTGCATTCTTCTTAATGACACCAACGTTCAGATAATTAAAGAACGCGTTACAACAAGTATCTGGTCATAAATAGGACTAACATCAATGATGCTGAATCGTGCTTTAAAGTAAGTTCTGTTTCGAGTAACTTTTAACTACTTTTTATTGATTGAAATCATTGTTAGATAAAATGAAGGGTCTACCAGTCTACAGTTCACATAATAACGGTATCTTGTTCTCGACTGTCTATAACTTTCATATGAGTTTAAATTGACATTATATTGAAGTTCTTCAGTCAATTGGATGCATGTGTTAATTACAGTGCCGCGCCATCGATCACGTCCTACAATCTCAGAAATCAAACTCACCATTTCTCAAGTTGGAAGCAAAACTTGCATTCCCCAAAATATTTGTTTTATTAAACCTATATGAATGTCGATTTTGTCGTTTCAGTGTAATTGGCATCATTGTTAAGGCAAACTAATGCCAAAATAACTTCAATCATCCGTTTAGTGTTTAAAAAATAGGAGTTTGTTTTCAGTTACTGTGAATGTTTCAATAAAGAATGTGATTTTTGCAGTTAAACCCTAAAACAAAAACATTGCAGTGATCTTGCTTTTCATGTTTTTTTTTTCTACCGTTTATTCACATACTTACATGTGTAATATTTTTTTATCTTCCCTATTTGAGGGGTCCAATTAAAGATCCGTAAAAGTGTATAGGAACTGTCCGTATTTCTTAAAAGCAAATTTGAAACTAATCCCCTTATCAACTCAGCTATAAGTAACTGTTAAGGCCCCTAGACCTTACACCATATACTTACCCATTCTTGTCCGTACGAGTCAGTCAAATCATTAACAGCTTTCGAGTCCCATTGCTTACGGATGCCGAACAGTTTCATCGGCAAGAACCCGTTCTCAGCCATGATAACGAAGTAGACGAAGAATCCTGCAGCAGCTTGGATCATACCGATCTGTCCATAAGCCATCGAGATCAACCTATAGCACAGATCTGGTTAATATCGAAGGTTTTGGGTACTAGGAAGTCTCAGGTGGCCATTCATGATATGCTCGGATCATATTTCCATACTACTAAAAGCTTTGATAAGACTATAGTTGTGGTAAATTAGAATAATACTTTCACGATGCCAGAAGGTCAACCTTGTCATAAAAGTGTCTTAGACTACGATCAGCTAGGTATGTTATCTTAGTGAACTGGTAATGTGGAATCCAAATATACTTGAAAGGTTAATTTTTGTAAAATTTGTAAAAATGTGTGTAAATATGACTCCTTTTCTACCCCGCAAAGTGCCCCCGTTGGAACATCAGTTACCTCCATCATACAAATGTAAGTAGTAGCTAAACGTATTGTCAGTCCTGTCGACAAGTGCAGGTTGTTTCAACCTAGGAGTAGGCTAAAATATCTACGCTAGGTCCTTAAATGAACTCACATGCCTGACTTAAGTTTTTGGGCATGATATGTCATTGCTTCAAAATCCATACTTTGCGTGGGCACACCTAAGGCTGATTCTAAAGAGACCAAGTGATGAACTGTCGCAGCTATACTATTGATAGCTTGGATACATTGGAAAACATGTCCGAAGTTATGACTGGATTATCACTAGACTAGACATCAGAACAGCTTCTCCTAAGCCCACGTAACTCGTAAATAAGTGACATGACATAATTGCACCAATTCTACCTGAAATGTTGTACCTCACGAAAGGTAGTGAAGGTATTATTCTGTGTCCAACTATTTTGATCTGTAATACCATCGACCGTGATCTTAAAGATATTGTCAGCATGTTTAAAGTTTCCAATAAAAACTTTTGTGATAACCGAACACAGATCATGAATGTATTGCCTACCTGAGGCCTGTTATTGATAAGACAGCCTTTGAGTATTGATTCAACGTTTATTATCTTGTTCTTACAGCCACTTCTTAAAAAATATATATAGTCAATGCTAAGGCTTGGTATCGCTACTCCAAACCAAAGAGGAGGTATTATCCATAATAGTTTGAAGCTGCAATACCATATAATATTGTCACAAAAACAAGTAAATTTCTCACAGATGACACTATTCAGTACTCAGTTAAAAAAGGCTGTCTTGTTTCCATCAAATCACCAGAGTCATGCTGTTAGTACATAAAATATCTACATTTTGTACACCAATATCTACAAAACACTACATGCAGTACAACCAGTACGTCAGTATTTTTGAAGTCTACCGATTATTATCAGGAAATTAATTGTTTTGTCACCTATATCTCTCTATGTCAACGCTTGTGAATTTTGTTTCAAATTGGTTTTTAACTAAAGAAATAATAAATATTACATACAACAAAAGGAGACACAATTAAGTATATCACAATATTTTATGGTAGGTACACCCTATCAAAATGGGTCCTCGCTATTCATATAGGATAGGTTGTAAGGGTTGGTTACAGAAACTGACTCAAAATTATAGTGACATACTGGTCTAAAAGGCGGACTTCTGCTTTATGGGGTGATTTGGGTATTAAGCGGGGTAGGGAAGTAAATTATCATACCATGGTGTATCGTAAATACATATGCTTTTACTTACTTGATTTTATATTTGTTTAGGTTTAGGCATGAGGCAGGTTTGTTTGTTTAAATAAAATGAATAAGAAATATAGAAAAGAGGAAGCGTAGAGTCCAAGATGCGTAAAAAACGAGAGTACTTACAACATCAATATAGGCAACAGAGATTGCGCTTGGAACACACAAAATGTTTTGTGAGAAGTAACATACATGCACAGAGGATGAGAAGGTTTCCTTATTCATTTTAATCATAGTATATTATTTAGTTTGTTAGTAAGTTTAGTCAGATGGTATTAGAAGTGTAAATTGTAAGAACGGCTTTGGGTAGTACGGTTTATAACACAAGTTTCTTAGAACTTCAACTTCCAATTCATATGTAACTAATTATACGTATCTAAAGAGTATGAAAGACTAACAACTTTTTTAATATATAGAATAGTATGAAATCTATAGTTATGCAAAAATTGGTAGTTGAAGCTTGATGTTTGTATTGATTTAATGTATATCTCGTATTTCAGTAATCTCATCCTAAACATTTGAGACTTTACTAATCATTACTGCTCAGTGACATATTAATAAAATGTCTCATGGTAGTAGTATATGGTCTCAGCACAAATGATGTGAAAATAATGTAACAATGATACATCATCACTATTATAGAAATTGCTGAAATACCATGATAATTTGTTATATCTTTCTATGTATGGTTATTTAGAATTGTTGGTATAGTGTACAAGAGTATCATATTGTATAAAAATAAGCAAATTACTAGCAATAAGATCTACTTCTTAAATGAAAATTAAACAGCAGGTTAAGACGAAAAATAAATTAACTTTATAGATGTTAGAACATAGTCAAGTAGCTTGTATGATCAATAGTGACTAGCTAAACAAGTGGCTTTCTCATTTTTTATTTTCTACTAAATAAGTTGAACATTGCTATATTTAGGAGTCAGTTGAATCAGTTAAAACAATGCATTTGCTTTATTTATAATAGCTTTCTCTATATATTTGAATAGGAAGCTTAAAAGTTTGTTGAAGTTTTGAATTATATAGCTCATGTTTTGATGCAAAGCTAAAATATTTTTTTTATGGAAAGGATGTCTAATTTGAAAATATCAACTATACGTAATGTACATTTATTAATAACTAAGTAAACCACAAAGGGTTTCCCTTGTCTATTATGTAGAAACCTTTCATAGCATAGTTAACAAAAACAAATGTTTATCATTATTCACAAAATATTATATAGACGAAGTTTTCTCATGTCACTGTGACATTAACTTCTTATTTACTTAAGCCTGAATAAAAATTCTACATGTCAGCAAAATAAGTAATTTTTGCGTAAGCTGTCACCTTGCAAAGCTACTTAAGTATTCAGAAAAATTATCTGGGGAAATATTAAATCTCGACCTCAACAGCAATTATGCACAAGTATTCTTCAAAGTTCAGGAATAGCAAAACTTCAGAACATGCAGTGAAGTAGGAGAGACCTCTACACAATATTTCTATTTCTAGTTTTTCTCTATAGAAATAACTAATTTTATCTATGATGATGACAGGCACGACACACTGTATTGGTGCATATAGAAAAATCGTATCCTAACACTGTATCTAAAAATGTTCTACGGTAGATCATGTATGACATATTTTTCTAATATTCTGATCTCATGGTTGCTAGATTCATTTAACGTATTTCTTTGTAAACTACATCTTTGTAACAGCGCCAAACCTTGTTTGATGAGTATCTCCTGACTCAACCAACATTCTAGAGGCCTTAAAAATATCAGCAACTGGAATTTTGTCAGGCTTTTTAATTTTACAAAAAATTTTGAAGCTTGAAGCTTCTTATTTCGAATTTTACAGATACACTTGATTACCTTTTATCCTAATATACGTAACAAAAAATTCATTTTATATCTCAATTAAATTATAAAGAAGAAATATTACATACAGGACCTACACACATAAAATATCGTAGACTCGACACAATCTATACCTCGGCAGACAGAGAAAAGAATGAGTAAGTTGTCTAAAATCTATATCATCTAGAGTTTGATTCAGAATAAATGATACGTAAAATTTGTCTTTGAAAGATCATGCCCTTCTAGAGTTGGTAGTATAAGTAAACTAGACGAGAGCTAACAAGATGGCTTCAAGTTATTCTGAAGCAGTATGCTTGATGTGACTATAATCTTTAAAATATAAAGTAGTTATAAATAGATATGTGATATAGCTGAAGCTCCAAAGCGACAAGATTAATACGATATAATGTATTATGAAGTATAAGATGGCAATCCTAAGAATGTCAGCTCTTCGTATGATACTAACGTACCTCGAAATCGATAAAATAGTACATACCTTCATATTTACTTAACAATTTGTTAAAACAAACACAAATAGATAGCAAGGTCTGAATCTCCCGAAAAAGGTGTATAATTTCATATTCTTTAACAATTAGTCACTCAGATATTATCCTATACGTACAGGGTATCCCGCTATAAATGTTCCATAAATAGAAAAAACTTCAAATTTGTGTGTCATGCATCCGTACTTCACACGGGGTTCGCATGGTAGATATTAGGGCTAGAAAAAAATTAATTTCTATCTCACAATTATCTCAGATCTCTAATACTAAATCCTATAATTTCCAGTTTAGATCCCTAAAAGCTAAGCTAAGGGATGATTTATAGGTTTTTCGAATAAGTTGTTTTTCATAAAAGAAAACATTACATGAAACACTTTATGTTAGACCCTATAAAATTTCTATAAAACTTTTTCTCCACACGGTCATACAGAAGTTGTGGGGTCAATTTATAACGGGACACCCTGTGCATTCAATCAGTGAATTATATATCCACTTCTAATACATTGTCAATTGCACATATTAAATGCCTGTTCTGTATAACAAACACCAAGAGTGCCGAGGTAACGGTTGTGAAGTGTCAAGCCATCACGACACCACTGCAGTGACCCAAGGTTTTTTTTTTGTTGAAAAGAGGATGATTCGTAACTTTGACAATACCAGAGAAAGATATGACATTGTAATGACTACTCGATAGAAATTATTGCGAAAACAAAACGTAAAAGCTATTTGCCTGAAATCAATAAATATAAATTTATATTTTATTTGTACTTGTAGATGAGATACACATTTTATTATTCACCTACATCATTGATATCTCAATTGCAGTCGCCTGAATTTATAGAACGTATTCTGAACAACGCTATCAGTATCAATATATATTGTGTAGGTGATATTTTTTCATGCATACTTGTTGATGTATGCCAGACATATGGGGGTATGTCAACAAACCAATTTCCAATTGTTTTGAATCTGTCTTATTATTAGCTCAAAGTTAACCTTACTCGAAACCTTTATCAATAAAGCGTTTTTCGAAATTCGTGCTTATATTGTAATTAATAACACAACATTGCTATGCATACTTCATTGAAATGAATTTTCTTAACATGGCTAGTTGTCAGGAAGAAACTTCAACATATATTGCGTTACTGTACAGTTAAGGATCACAGGGAGGAGTGGCAGCAAAATAACTAACAACAATCAAAAATCATTTGTAACAAATGCTCTATCAATAAAGATTTCTGATCATCCTCGTTTTCAAAATATCTTTATTAATTAAAAGTAGAGATTACGAAATTGCGCGCTGTTCGTTATACAAGTGATTAAAATGAACTCAAGAAATCAATAATACATTTAATAATCAGTAATAATAACTATTCTTCCCTGTATGTTTTCTAATTGCCACTACTAACAATATTTGTAATATGTTTTTATCAATCTTATGTTTGTTAGATTTTTACTAGAATTGGGTATTGACAGGAAGAAGGCTAATTTCTGAATTAAAATGATGGTGACGAAATAAAATCATTGCTTTCTACTAAGAAATGTCTGCAGAAATGGGCGAACAACTGTTAAGGGGAAGAGTGGAGATGCATTCATTGTGTGACAAAACAATCTTGAACAACGACTTTACATTATTAGAGTTTGATTTGATCCTATATCTATGTTATATATATTATATAATTTCTACAGAATCCTTCAGAAAAGACCGTTATACACTGCTTTTCTTTAATGCCCCCTCCCTTTTCATTTTTTGAACGGATCAATTCAAAAAATTAAAACTTGAGGTAATGAAATTGATGCGTGGATACTATATTTTAGAGTTAAATTGACAGATGAAAATGTCAAGATGGCCGCTGGGCGCCATCTTGAAAAAAGACAATTCTATGAAAACGGGGGTCTTGTGGCACATCATTTTTAAGCTCCTGACGAGTACTTTATAACCCTAGAATATAAAGTCAATACCTTTACCTACTACAAAATGGTGTTACATTTTATAATTACCTGAATACATTGACATTTAACTTGATAATTCGAATAAAGACGTCGAGTTCAGTTTAGAAGATGCTGGAAATGGTTGCCTTGAACTTCTTGACACAATAACAGGCAGTCCGTAATTTCGCGTCGAACATTTTCAAACATAGTAATATTTATACAAATATTTGTTATTCTCAGCCGTATATCTAATATTGAAGCAGGTTCAGTTTCGTACACCTTTTGCTTCAAATAGCCCCATAAAAAAAAGTCTAAAGGTGTCAAATCTGACGAGCGAGCTGGCCATTCCACAGGACCTCGGCGGCCAATCCAAAGACCGGGGAAATTGTTATCTAAATAGGGGGGACATTAAAGAAAAGCACTGTATAATAAAAAAGACACTAGTGACAATTCGACAATGAAATAATAAGATGTTTCCATTAATGCCTACTTTGTTCATATAAAAGCACGTTCAAACGTTCAACAAGACGCTTCAATGAAATACTTGAATAACGAACAGTTCATAACAAATATCGAAACCTCTAAGAAATGATGACACGAGACAAATGTATGTGTGAAATAATACATATATAGTACGGGAAATGTGAGATGCGAATCAGGTGTGTAGTGCCATGACCCACCTACGGTTAACCAGATTGTCCCTATAGGGGTCGCGAGGTTGTCTTTTCATAATGTCCGACTCCGGAGCTTCATAAGCCAGAGATATAGCAGGCACCTATACAGAGGAACGCACGCAAAACACGCACACAAGTTAGATTAGGACAGAGATGTCAATGTCTGATGGACGCGCAACAACATGCACGTAATACGTTACTATTAATTATATTAGTCGACTGTTTCTTAGGTTGTTTGTTCATATATGATTTGTAACTAGAATTTTTTGATTATTGGGTATAGCGGTACGTGGATAGTAATAACGATAAGCCTCAATACAGAATATTGGTTTAACCGATCAACTGTTAAACCAATGCAGTATGGTTTAATATCCAGTATATTCATCTTAAAAAATACGAGCAGTTCACTGGGTGACAAGTCTTATCAACCTCGTACGTGTGCATATAGGAATTTTATTCCACAATTTTTTTTTACATCAACCCTTTGTTTACGTTCGAAGATCATTGAGACCGTGAGGTGAGAAGAAACACAAGATGATTAAAAAACAAAACAACGGCAATATTCGTAGGGTAGGAAACACATCTAAAGGTATCAAAAAGTCATAGATACTCTCCAGATAATATTGTGGTAAAATTTCATTCCTCATCCAATATACTACTTACAATTTTCTGTCAAATTTCACTAACTTGTATATTTGAAGTAGATTTTTCTCCAAAAGAGTTGTCATAACAAAATTTTCTCAAGAGAGACAACTGATGTAAAATTGAATATTTTATCTAAAAATGAGATTTTGTGTTTTAAATCAATCGCAAATCAGTAGTCAAACGTTTTTCCAATCGAAGATGGATAGACTGTATATGAGGCAACTACAAATATCCACAGTACCGTGTAGTGGATCTGGTAGTATTCAAAATGTCCATAATAGTGTGTAGAGGGAGGATTAGGAAAAAGCTTTTGCAAAAAGTATCCATCACAGCAAAACAAAAGCTATTTAACCTGTAGTGTACTAATGGAATGGAAATGTGGTGCACAAGCGAAGCAACAGTATCAAGGATTTAAAATAACTTTCACTCTATGACAATATTTTCCACTTTTGTATGAAATTTGTATTTGTATCGTTATTCTAGGTCACAAAATTCTGGTGGTTAGACTTATACCAACTACTATTGAATTAACAAAATTTAACTTGATCAACATTAACACAGTGAAAATTAGTTATTTGCAAGTTAGGAACGCAGAGGGTAGTTTATTTTTGTGTTGAATATAGATTTACATATTTAGATACGTTCACAAATGGTACTACTTACCGTGTATACACATAGGTACTTTTAGATATGAGGTTTTTTTGGGTGAGTAGAAAGCGGTATAGCAAGACTGAATTGGTATGAAGTCCGAAACAGTGATAAAACGTTTGATATATACTCACAAGTAAGTTCATATAAACAATTTTGTAACTAAAAGCTACATACCAGCCTATTCTGTCTAACGAAATCTTGTCCAAAATAGTGTTTACTGCAGATATACAGTTATGCTTAGAATCAATTAAAATGAAAAAGGCAATGAAACGGCCAGTATGCAATTCGCAAGGGAATTCGTTTGGTAGTAGGTGGAGATATCTCGATTGAATTTTGTATAATACTAATTAGGCGCAAAGTGTCCTTCAATTGTTTCAGCTATAGCCAACTAGTGAAAGAAAAGTTGTAAATTTCATCACTGTTCCAAACTCACTACGTTTTCAGGATATGCTTCAATTCAATGGCAGCTTGTGAAGCGAAGTGAAATGTAAGGTGTTGAAAAAATGGTGGATGGGATGATAAAACACAGGAGAGCAGAAGTGTCGCAATCCCACATTTACAAAAGATGGACAGAAATACAGAGAAGAAAACAGAAAATACACAGCCGAGTTCACATTCGAGGCAGTTTCGTCCAAGAAAGATACAAAGTTGTTGCTCCAAAATCCTTTGAAATCACTTACAACTCACTGCATATTGCATTCTTGCACTGATCAATTAAAAAAATAGGTATAGTTGACAACAAAAGTGGTAGACAAATTAGCTTTTCAAATCGTCTATTGCAAAATACAAAAACCATGTAAATTGATAGAGATGTATAAGAATCTGGGAGGTTGTGCAACCAAGATGGCTCTATCAAACTTGTAGGCGCTTGACTAGAAATACATTTTATATGTTCCCATAATATAAATTCAGCGAAAAAAAAAATAAAACTTCGACGATAAAGAAAGAATTTAGAAATGCCTTCAATGAACTACAACAAAAATATATATTGGCCAAAAAAGTTTGTCTTTTTGAATAGTTTATCCATGTACGAGTATGAGGGAAGGAAATCGTGTGAGTTGAAAACTAGTTCATGCTCACTGACTTATTTGGTCACTACCTCAGAGTTACATCAATTCTTATAACATCAGTATTAACATATGGTTGATTGACGCAAGTATTTACTGCTGGTTATTATCTTTTGTAGAGTGACAATGTAAGTGAATTCAGACGGCATTGGCATATGAACTCCAGGTAATTCAGCAATTGCTTTATAACTATACTGATTAAATGTTCCATGAGTGTTCAGATCCGACATACAAAATATATAGTAATAAACATTTTTCTGTAATATACATAACCGAACGATAAAATAGCTAACAAATATCTAAGGGATAGTCGTATTACTTAACAAATGACATTTAAATTTAGAAATAATTCAAAATGTTATTCAATCAAAACTGGAGCAAACAGGGAACATGTTTTTTAATGGTAGAAGACTATTATAGGTATTTTTGAATTTTGGTAGGTTCAATTTTGAAGCTAATCTTTTTTGGAAGGGTTTTTACTTTGTTCTAGGATCGTCATTTAATTTATTCTTACAGTGGGAGCCCCGGACTTGAGACCCTCGGAACTTGCTCGAGTGTATAGTCGGATAGGGAGGCAATATCCAAATGTTTTCAACGAGAAAGTAGTGATATGAATATCGATAGAGCTCATGAAACTTTTAATCGAAAGTAAAGGCTAATTAACCTGGAGAAACAACATCCATAGATGGAAGATACCCGAAAATAATCAGGTAAGATAGACGGTGAGACTATCGATTACCTTTCGTTGACCAGTTTATCAGTGAAAGGGTTTCTAGGTCGTCGCTTCATTATATCTGATTCTGCCTCTTCGTACGCCAGTGATATAGCTGGCACCTGAGCTCGGCGAAACATACGATGATCAAACAAAACAAACCAAATACAAATGGAACAGGACTAAGACAACGTTTCATGATTCGAAATACTACTGCAAAAGAGTATCTCTTTTTGGGTCAGTACTTCCCAGGTGATGGATTTAACACAACAGATATTCTGTTAAGGTTCTGTGCTCAACAAGATCCATTATTCAGTTCTTTTTCACATGTACCAAAAAGCACATAAGGTCAAAACATTGTTCATCGAATGTATACACTGTGAACTGTTACCGCAGATGTTGTATTGTCAAGCAGCGGAGTCAACTCACCCGTAGTTCTATTTTGCTTAATTTCAACGGATTATCGATTTGTTTATATTTTTAGAATTTTTTTACAGATATTCAAAAATGCAAACATTTTTTATATTGTTTATACATACATGCTACCAGGCATGTTGATTATATTTAAGTTAAAGTGACTTGATGAGTATCCTCTTAAATTTATTTCCAACCAAAATAGCCACTGAGAACAGCAGCACTTTTCGAAATATGGGCATATTTTTTAAGAGTTTATAAGAACCGTTTCCTGTTTTTAGTCACTCATTATTACTACTTATATACGTATAGCGTGCAGTAGTATTTATGAACGAAGTCTTAGCCATATAAAAGAAAATGACATATGTATCACACTTGTTGTAAGTGCCGAATGATTCATGTATTGGGCAACACATTCACTTACATGCCAGCACCGACACTGTCTTAGTCTAGATGTATCATTTCTGATCTTTGATATACTATGTATGATCTCAAGGTGTAACAAATGACTTGTCTATGACTCAATCTGGAGTAATGATTATATGATCGTATGAGAAAAATTCTAGAAACCCCTTAAAAGTATAATTTCCAATATACCTTGTTTTGTAATTTTAAATAAAGCCAAAAAGAGTACTTTCTCATATGATCATAAAGTTATGTTTGAATAAATTAATGTACTGTAAACTCAAAGATATCTAGAACTAAGTTTTATTCGAGTGCTAAGCGAGGCATCTACGCTGTCATAGGGTAAAGGATGTGTAATTTTGTGTCACGTATTGTTCAAATATATGAACAAAACAAAATTGTAACAAAATATCGGAATGTACCCCAGTTTCGAGTGTATATATATAAAATTGGAAGGAAATATAGTTTTCCCATGCAATTTGGTGTTAATTTCACTCAAACTCAATGTTCAGGCATCAAAATAACATACCAAATTTCTGTTAATAGCCAAAGGATGAATCAAACGTGATGTAAATGTTCATATCACGTGAAGTTTTTGTATGATTCGTTTTTCGTGTATGATACAGCGACACATGATGTTTTTAGTGCAGTTAACCATAATTATTTGATCCAAAAATACAATTTCAAACAAACATAACTGAACACCACAAAAACACAATGTACAAAATACCAATTCCAATAAGGTTAGTTGTGATTGTTTTGTTAGTTTTTTAGACGACCAATGTACAAAATGTAACCACTTCGGAAAAATAACCGCAAAAAATTAGACGTACCAAACTTATTTTGAATAGATTAAAAGAATTTATCAAAAAATAAAGTATATTTCAATTTCAACTTGATGAAATACCGCCATAAATATGGTTCTAAGTCTCGGTTTTTCAATCGCTGGCTAACTTTCAAGTTTGACAACTATAACTTGTACTTAAGTATTAATTGTCCATTGCTTCTACATCTCAACTACCATGTTCTGTGCGTTTTATGGCGATCGCTATTTGTGTCTCACGTCATCCGTGACAAGTCATGACATTATCAAGTAAAAAAAGTTAGGAATCGCGATTTAGCTACAACTTTCTAGCCAACCCGTAGATTATCTTCTTATTGAGGTAAGCTAGTATTTTTAGACAAACCTGAGATTAAAAAACGTGTTTTGGGGATTGTGGATAGCACTAAAATCACAATTAACCTGCAGTTGAAAAACCGGACCCAATCATGGTATAATGTGATACTAAATTCTTTAAATTATTCAAGTATAAGTCGATTAAGGGGATATCCTAGCAATGATAACTTTTTCGTTAGAAGAATTTTGGGATGATGTTTCTCTTTGATTTACACGGCTTAACAATAATAAAACAACGAAAAAAAAAACCACCACCCTTGTAATTTGAAGTAAACAGTTGTTGAAAACTGCGTCTTCTATTTAACTCATATCTTTCGTGAACACCCTACATATTATTTGACATCTTTTTCAATAAATAGATAATAGTGTAACAGAAAATTGTCCCAAAATACCACAAAAAAAAGTTATCTTCTTTGAGAGAACACCCTGTACGTTAAAAATTTTCATACTCAAAAAAAAAAACAAACAAAAACCAATCAAATAAAAAATAACTGCACCTAGCATTGACCAATTTATCATTGAATGGGTCTCTGGGTGGTCTCTTCATTATATCTGCTTCTGCTTCCTCATAAGCCAAAGATATAGCAGGCACCTAAAGTTCAGTCGATAGAATAAATGAAATGAAAACGAACTAAAAGATATTCAACTATGAGACCGAAAGTAAGGATAAAGTTGAATCTAACGTTATTTGCAGTGGGTATAGTAACAAGCAATTATCATTTACCAATACTTCATCCGTTTTTTGTTGTATTAAACTGCTCTGTCCGATTCTTACTAACGCGATGGCTGACTACAGTTCTTTTGTGGCCGATTTAGGATAGCAGAGTTTCTTGTAATAAAAAGGAACAGAATTCCAGTGCATGGATGCGTAAATAAAAAATACTCGTATTTCTGAATAATCACAATTTTTGTTTATAATAAGCACCGAAGTTAGAACAACCTTTCTTACATTTTTTGTACAGAGTGTTCTAAGTTTAGACTTTCCCGTACATAGCATACAGTTCTTGTAGAAATAAGGAAATTTCTCTAGCAGCATATATACGAAACTCTAAAATAACCGAGATATTGGATTACGAAATAATCGGCCATATCACAACAGGTCTGCCGCGCGCCATGTAGGTAAACCGAGGTGTTTGTATATAAATTGGATTTAACAAACTGAAAATAGCATATTCCTATAGGAATGACGAATAGTGGAATTGACGAGGTATCCAAATTTTGACAACGGTACAAAGATAACCGACTAACGGTAATATTGCAATAAGTGTTTAAGAATTGTATCGAATTTTACAGATGCTTTGCCCGAATACCTTGACGAATATCGGACAGTTTTGATGAAAAAGTATTGGTGTTTGATACTTATTTGTGAGATAGCTTAGCTTAACTATAGAGCTCGAGAGTTCCAAAGCTTAAAATATAAAGATAAAAGTGGAACAGAAATAAAGTAGTAAATATTTTCATCTGACGTACCTTGATCAAGTAAGAGATCTTTTCCTCATACTATACTCTCAAAACATACTATCTCGTTCGTTTAAAAAACTACGCTGTTTTACTGAAATTATGACTACTCTACTCGTAACATATCAAAGTGTCAAAATATATTCTTTAAAAAATAAAGTTCGGTGCATATTTAACTCAAAAAAATTATAAATTCTGATCTTTATCAAATTCTACATGCGAATTCTCTTTAAGCCTTACTTAGTTGAATTTGAGCTTTTGAACGACATATATGCTGGAGACTATCTGAGATGTTAAATTATTTTTTCATGGCATTCCCCATTAAATGTTCCCAATTTATTCCTCTTTAATATCTCCAGTCATAAATGAACTGTTGTGTTCCTCTGAATATTGCAGGATACCTGTGATAGTGATGAAAAAAAGATTTTTATTGTGCTACTAGATTATCAACGTATTTTGTACAATCAACGTTAATATTTCATTTTGTTAATGGCTATTAAGTTACATCTTGTAGCTAATATATCCACCTAGTTTCAAGTTCAAACTTCAATCATATATCACTTTCATAGAATTATAGATGTCATTTAGTGAAATAATTCAACCATGGAAATGCAATAAATTGCAATCAAAATAATATGACGAGTTTCACCATTCTGCGCAGTGTTGTCAATTCGTTCATATGCTTCAGTTTGCGGTAAATTCGTGAGGCGAGCTCAATGGCAGCCAGGAGCTCCAAGCAATGTTAGGCCATCTTGCAATACCCGAGCAAAACAAACCTCAAATCCAAGAAAGTAGACCATCTATATACCCTTTCATCTCTCAGGATTATTGTACCTTTCATTTACTAATTTGTCGGCCCATGGGTTACGTGGTCGTCGTTTCATAATGTCCGACTCTGCTTTTTCGTAAGCGAGAGAAATGGCCGGCACCTTTTACCATAACAAATCAAACAGTTAACATTTATTTAGATGCCTGATAACTTACGCTGTTACTTGTGTTTTGTTTTGGGGTAAAGACATTTTGTTGAAATTGCTATGCAGAAGATATCATTTCTAGATTCTCTAACTTAACAATAATGTTAAATAAAATATTGACAATTTTCATTGAAACAATATAAGGCTTTGTTTGAATAGAATGTATTACTTACAAATTGAAGAGCACTGTTACTCCTATTGCAAACAAGTTATACAGGGTGTTCATTTGAAAACTTTCCACGACGAATTTATCGAATACCACTGATTAAAAGAAAAAACGCCGAGACAGGCCAAGAAATTTGTCAAGGAGGACAACTTTTTAACCCCTTTCACTCTCTGTCTCTGTCATCCCCTTAAAAATTTCTAATGACGAGTAATCGCTTGTTTGAAAGGTCTTTCAAAGCCCTTTACTTTGACGTCTGATTTTTTAAAATTAGAAAATCTACATTTATCTTAATTTGTTCATATAGAAAACAAAAACACGAAAATATCACTTTTTATTTAAATAAGTGTTCAAAATGTTGCCCGTTATTGGTCAAACAATGATATAGGCGACGTTCAAATTCCTGACATATTTTCAAAAACATGTTGTGGGATATCATGGCAGCTTTCAATGATCCGTTGACGAAGTTCATCCAAACTTTCAGGTTGGGGAGTAAGTACAATAGATTTTAAATGGGCCCATAGAAAAAAGTCTAATGGCGTCAAATCAGGAGATCTAGCAGGCAATTCTATAGGCCCACTTGGCCCGATCCATCCATCTGTAAACTCTTCGTGTCGCCATTGCCGAATCGAAAGAACATAGTGAGGTGGAGCGCCGTCTTACTGGAAATATATTTCAGCTTCAAGTATAGGGTTTCCATCCTCTTCAATTTGGTTTTCAATGGTATCAGTGATGAGCGAATGTATGGTAATTTCAAACATATCCAAATAAATGTCTTTATTCAAATTTCCATTAATAAACAATGGACCATTCACTTTGTTTCCTAAAATGCTTGCGCATACATTAATTTTTTAGGGGTACTGGCTATGCGCTTCTACAAAAGCATGATGATTTTTATTGCTATAATACCTGCAGTTATACTTATTAACAAATCCATTTAGATGAAATATGCATTCATCACTGAAGCAGATATTCTTTATATAAATGGTATTATCATTCATAAAACTGAACTCGCCTATCGAAATCATCTTCGGCTTACTCTTGCAATATTTTCATTTTGAATGGATGAAATTTATGGAGTTTAGTAACTGTGTACAGAGCCTAATGAAATACCAGTCGCAGCAACAATTTTGCGTAATGAAGTATTAGGATTTATTCCAAAATGACCCAAAACTTCAACTTGAGCGGCTTCATCCAAAACTCTCCGAAGATCACGATTTTTATTTGCTACAGATCCAGTTTGAGTAAATTTAGTAATACGGTCCAAAACATACCTATGCGAAGTTATTTTGCCTGGATGTCTGACGTTAAACGTGACGGCAGTTTTCCGGAAACACTGATTTTGGGCACCATAAATTAGAATCATTCCCACTCTTTCGGCTAGTGTGTAAGCCATTTTGGAAGTAAAATCTGAATCAATAAATTAATTTTCACTATCCCAAGATTGTCACAAAGGTAATTGACAGCAAATTAAATTCTTTCTTTCCCTTAGCAAAAAGTAACTGAACAGGTATAACAATAAATACAGTTCGCCCAGGATATCTGTGTTGATGAAAAGACTGCGGATAAAATTCGGATTGTTATATGGTTGTTGCCACGTCTAATCTTCCGAATTGCTGTTTATGCTGATACTTTGTTTTAAATTATAAACGAATTGTAGATTTGGCAAACCCTAAGGGGCAACATTTTGAACACTTATTGAAATAAAAAGTGATCTTTTCATGTGTTTCTGTTTTCTATCAGAACAAATTAAGATAAATAAAGGTTTTTCTAACTTTCTCGAAAACGGATCGACTGATTTTAAAAAATCAAACGTGAAAATGAAAAACTTTCAAACAAGCTATTACTCGATAACCCTTATCATTTGAAATTTTTAAGGGAATGACCCAGGGGGGCCGACAGTGAAAGGGGGTGGAGTAGTTTTTGGTTATAAGTTGTATCCCTTGACAAATCTTTTGACGTGTCTCGGCGTTTTTTCTCTTAATCAGCGGTTTCCGATAAATCCGTGTTGGGAAGTTTTCAAATGAACACCCTATATAAACTGTAACAAGATACCCACAAAAAATGAGGAAATGTTTGTAGGTGTACTTGCCTCAAGAAATTCAGGGGGAAGAATTATAATCTTTACTGAATTATACTGAATAATTTGAAAATGATGATATTTTCTCTCTTCTAAGAGAGAAAAATGTTTATCTTCAACGACAGCAATTTCAACAGTTAAATATTTTCTAGTGTAAAAATAAAAAAAATATTAGGACAGCTATAAAAAAGAATCTCATTTCATCGCATAATATCCTGAAAAAAAAAACAGGGATGCTGATGGTTTGGCAGAAAAAAACTTTATAATGGTTTGAAAGCCATCTTTATTATAACTAGTTATCCTGATGCTAGTATGATATAAGCAACAGTCTGATCTGTATTAGAATTTTTCTAGAACTCTCAAATAATTATGCAGTGCATATAACTAATTTCAAACATATTTGCTTAATAAATTCAGTATATTACTATTGAATAATACCGTATTTATTTATTTGCGAATATTCAGCATTTCGTGTGTAACATACGTATAGCAATGCCCTAATTTCAAGAGGAACCTTTCTGAATCCGTACCTAATTATACGAGGTGTTCATGCCAAGCTTCAAGGGGTGATTCTAAGAATCCTTGTCCATATACCCATAGGTCCAAAAATGTACAATTACCAATTTAAAGGGTGCTGTAGTATGACAGTGACAAGACTAATTAAGGACAAAACATGAATGTTTATGAAAATATTTCCATAGTGCTCTCCCTACCCCCAATATGCTACAATGTCAAACTTCATTAATTCCAGAGGGTTTTCAAAGTAAAACGGAATCAAATTTATTATACAAATTTAGAATTTTCAAACCATTTTTATTCGAAAATGAAGGGTTAGACAGAAATTACTCAAGAGGCACATCTCATGTAAAAATAAATGCCCGATTCAAAAATGAAAGTCACTGGGTAGTAAATATTTTTTATTCTACAAGGATCAAACATTCTACGCCACCGGTGTAGTTTGGGCTGCGATTTTTTTTTATGTATTGATTACGTTGTCAATAGCTAATGTACAAAATTTTAAGTCGGCCACTTTATCCACTCATCATATCTTAGTATCACCCAAGGAATCACCGTTTGGTGTTCGTCCATTGACTTTATTCTTCTTCTTTCAATATTTTGAGCTTGTACGTGAATTGATATTCAAATTAAAAATATTAGACCAGCTTGTGATACGTGTTCTGCAAACATGTGAAACAAAATTTTTGACTTCGTAGAAATAAAACTTGGACATTCCGTGAACTATATGTTTAGCGCCCAGATCACAGAACATAGACTTCGCAACATCGAATTGTGAAATTGAACGTCTCAAGAGCGAAAAGCTACTTAAAAATTTGGACTGTTACAGTCGCCTTAGTATCAAGGGTACTAATACACATGCGGAGGCTCACTAAATTTTAATGTCCTTCTTCCGTCAGATAATGATCTGATACTAAAAAGTAATGTTATCCTCCAGCTAATTTGAACATATCCAGATACGTCATTTCCAGGATTGTTCGGCATCTCACCAAACCACCAAACATCCCACATGACTTTAAACCCCGACTGTCACCCCACTACTCACCATGTCCGTTCCCAAATCGATGCACAAGATGGTGACCGTGCCCAGGGGCAGCGGAATATCACAGAGGATAAAGGCCAGGAAGGGCGAGATCTCAGGGATGTTTGAGGTCAGCGTGTACGCGATGGACTTCTTCAGGTTGTCAAAGATAAGACGGCCTTCCTCTACGCCAGTGACGATGGAGGCGAAGTTATCGTCCAGGAGGATCATGTCGGCGGCCTGTTTGGACACGTCCGAGCCGGCGATTCCCATGGCTACGCCGATGTCGGCTTTCTTCAGGGCGGGAGAGTCATTTACACCATCACCTAGAAGAAGTTACAGTTATAATTAGTGATTTTTGAGGTGCATCAGTTTAAAGTAAAATAAAAATGTCGTTAGTCGCCGGGAGCGAAGTGCGTAGTGGGGGTAACAAAGTCGTTGCCACCACGTCGGCCTGGATGTACAGAGTGTTAATAAAGTGTGTAGACAAACTTTACCCTTCGAATCCTTGGTCAATTTGAAGACTAAATGTTCATATCAACATGGGTCCCTAACGGCTTTCTTTTCGAGCTAGAGCATATTAGAACTAAAAGAATTGATGATATTGTTCTAAAAAATTATAAAAGAATGGAAAGTATTTTATTTTAATTAAGTATGCCCTGTGGTGAATATAACATGATTTACAGTTGTTTTCAGACCCACCATGTACGTAGATACGGATAATGTTATCCAATATTTTATATTATCTAAGCACCTATGACGTACCCGAAAACAATTTAATTAATTTATTTTCTCAAATAATTCGTGGCCACTTTGAACATTTATTGTAAAAAAAACTATTCTATATTTTCTATTGTTGTCGTTCTATTTATTCTATTGACCTTCTAAATAATTTTTTCTCCAAGAATACAGGATAATACTATTTTCATCCACGTTGATATTGAGCCTCAGCAACTTATAAAACATGAAAAATTTATCATAGAATATACCAACTGTTCAATAAATACGTTTCATTATTCATAGAAATATATGGAACATTACTCGTATTTCTTTAGTGCTCTAGCTCGAAAAGAAAGCCGTTACGGACCCATGTTCATATGAACATTTAGTCTTCAAATTGACCAAGGATTTGATGGTTAAAGTTTGTCTACATACTTTAATAACACCCTGTATATTGGCAAGGCCACTGTGGTGAAATCTGTGTCATGCGAGGTCAGCCTTGCCAATACCAACCGAGAGAAAAACTGTATATGAGCTTGAAAAAAAAACTGTAGATAACTGTAGAATAATATTTAGAAAACTGTAAATCTACAGCCATCCATTTACAGTATTTTTATATCTCAGACCAAGGTCAAAAAGTGACAGCTTTGCATTGCTTAAGCGAATTTTTGAGCGGCTGTGGTTCTGGTTGGTCTTGAGTGACATAAAAATTACAGAATTGCCATTAAATTTTTTCCAAACTCACTCAAGGCCAAATTTGCTTTTTGCATGCATGTTCAGCTGTCATTTTTTGGCATTGTTCCAAACTGTAGATTTGAAGGCTCAAACTGAAAACTTTGAAGATTTTTGAAACACTGCAAATCTACAGTTAAAACTGTAGGGTTGGCAACCCTGTGTGAAGTCAACTGGAGCCTGACAATAGTGCGCAAATATTTCGCTGTCATCAAAAGAGAATTGTTAGTTTGAAATTCGGTTGTTTCTAAAAAAAATAAACGTGTCCTGCTGTTGTCCGTCCGACCAATGACAGTCAAACATGAACTGCTGTTCTGGGCGTATTGAGATCTATACATTTCCAACTAGGCTGCAATTCACTGTTTCGCAGTGGTCGATTCTAGTGGTAGATGGCGCTTTGCGCTGTCTTATTTCAATTGTTCCTGGCCTGAAATCGGCTAAATATCTGTTTCCAATGATATCCGTTTTTTTATATCGCACGTGTCAAGCAAGTGCTGGAGATTCGATATTATACTTTTATCATAGTTATCGCTAAGTTACAGTTGTAGGTGGGTGTACTTTTACTGATGTCGCACACGAGCGCTACAACTGACTCGAAGAAAACTGAGAGACCAGTTTTTGCTCACCTCTTTTAATGTTTCCAGGCGCATACTTAAATACCGCATCGAATGTCGGCTCCTATACTTTCTACAGTTTTTGGTTTATTTTCAATCCATACCTTCATTAAGCATTGCCCTTTATTCGTGTCACGCTTTCCTGTCACAAGAATAAATATAGAATGAAACTGCAGTGGAACACTAAATTACAACTCATCCTCCCTTTCAAACTTTCACAACAGCACGTTATGTTTTGGAGGGAGAACAATCTTTCAGAAATTTATGACAATCAAGTGTCAAATGTAGTCGCTTCAGTGAGTATTTATGTTATGTTTTTTCATGTTTATAAAGGAACTTATCACATAAAGCTAGCGCATCCGCCCAATACCGCATCCGTATTATGTAATACAAACGCTACGATAGCGATCTGACCGCCGTATTTGTCACTTGAATACTAGTAAGTAGCTAGCCCGCGCCACGCATACTCGCTGTCAACTCCACCTATGGAGAAGTAACACAACGACCTATAATATAGAACTTACAACTTCACAAAAGCTATGAATGGCTTCCGCAAGTGCCATATGTGAAGCACAAGCTACATCACATCGGAGCCACAGCATACAGCTCAAGTATCTTGACGTTTAGACAACACACACAGCTAGTACATAGAGAACATGACGTGAATGATACCTAGTGCTAAAGTGATAATTATTGATACATAATACGGGTGCAGCTTTATTTTTTTTATACCGAAGCAGCCGCGCAGGCAGAAGCCTCAATGCCGGCACACCGCGGCCGCTATGAAGATAATAAATTTTCTGAAACCGATTTTTGAACTGCCTAAGGTTAGTAGAACTGTGAAAAGCTTCCTCTTGTAGATTGTTCCACAATCTCGAAACCCTCGGGACAAAGGAGCAGTCGTATCGGACAGTTTTGGATGTACGAAGTTCGACACGGTTAGGATGGGAGGCCGAAGTCAGGCGGGTCTGTCTAGCGGGCACATCGCGCGGCGGAATCTTCGTGTAGCGGTGGGAGAGAGCTACATCGGCGGCGCCCCGCCGGTGCGAAAGGGTTCCGAGACTGTCTGTCAGAGAAGAGTCGTCGATCATAATGTAGACTGGGCGGCAACAAACCAAAAGTGTGAGCAATACTCGAGGCTAGGCCTTATCTGGGCCTTGTATAGAGTGAGAAGGTTATGCGGAGAAAAGTACTTCTTAGCCCTAAACAAATAGCCTAGCTTTATCCCAACAGCTGCCGCTATTGACGATATGTGTTCGTGCCAGATCAAGTCCTCGGTGATCTGGACTCCTACCAGCCGAAGTGAAAGGCTCTTTGGCAGAACTCGGCCATCCATCGAAACGGGATGAGCGCTAGGACGCTTTTTGTTCGTCAAGGTACGTACTGTGTTTTGGGAACATTAAACTGTACAAGATTGTTGCGTATTCGCCTTGTTTCTAAAATCACCTGATATACACTTGTTACGTTTATTATTTTAACGGCCAAGATTGGATCAGGAGGTTAATTCTTGAAATGAGAGGGTAGAATAACTAAGAAAAAGTGACATCTGAGGCGATCAGATCGCTAACCCAGTCATTTTGCAGTACATAATGAGGTTACATTTCTGTCATGGCAGAACAACGAGCTTTCGTGTCAGGAATACTGTGCTGGCATTTCATTATTTTGTCCATTAGTCACTGGTACTTATTCTGCGGAAATGATTTCTTCCCGCAGAAAAGGATGCTTGTGTATGACCTACAATTGGCATAGACCACAGATTTGATACATGCCCACGGAAAATAAACCATAGGTCAATTTCTTAAAAAATGGTCCCGGGTGACGCTGCAGGTTCGAATATACAGGGTGTTCCATAATTATTGCGACAAAATGATAGGGGTTATAGAGGGCATAAAAATATGCAATTTTGCCTTATAAACCCCTGTTCGTAAATATGCCGTTTGAGCACTACAGTTAATTTTACCTTAAGAGCTCATAGGAGAAACAAAAAATTCACCAGCTGCAAAATGTTCGTCTAGCACATTTCATGGTCTCGCCGGTTTGTAAAAAAAGCCTGCTGTGTTTACATTTTTGTTATCGTACACCCGTACCACCTTTTAAAAGTCCAAGCCATGGATCCAGCAGACTATCTGCCGCGTCGACGTTTTTGTCGTTGGTGGCTGCAGCAGGAGTTGAGGCAACCAAACTTTGGTCGCTACGTTTTGTTCACTGACGAGTCCTGTTTTACAAAGGACGGTTATTTTAATAGCCGTAACAGTCACATTTGGGATGAAGAAAACCCTCATGCCATAGCCATCCATAGAGACCAACATCAGTTTTCAATTAACATCTGGTGCGGCATTGTGGACGAGCATATCATCGGGCCATATCTGCTTCCACCACGTTTGGATGGGCATGCTTATGGTCGATCCTTACAGCATGTGCTACCGGAACTATTAGAAAATGTGCCACTGAATATAAGAGCCAACATGTGGTTTCAACACCATGTCGGTCCAGCCCACTTTTCTTTACAAGTGCGGCAGTATTTGGACGACAAATTTCCAAATAGGTGGATAGGCCGAGGTGGCCCTGTGCCTTCGCCTGCGCGGTCACTTGACCTGACCCCACTGGATTATTTTATCTGGAGCTATCTGAAAGCTTTAGTGTATGAAACTCCTGTTCCCAACCAACAAGAGCTACTGGGAAGAGTGATGGCCGCGTCCGCACATGTTCAGGACATACCGGGGGTATGCCACAGAGTTCGCCGATCATTGAACAATCGTGCACAGCTGTGTATTGAGCAAGGTGGAGGACACTTTGAGCAATTACTGTAGGTAAGCTGTTTCAAGAAACTGATCTTTTTTTTTTGCTGCAGCCCAAACGGCATATTTCCGAACAGGGCTTTATAAGGAAAAATTGTTCATTTTGATGCCCTCTACAACCCCTATCATTTTGTCGCAATAATTATGGAACACCCTGTATATATATATATTTACGTCATGTCAATTCGATCGCCAATTGAATGGAATTAATGTTAATGTTATGAACTTTTAGCAATACGGTGCAACATGCCACACCAGTGGCTTATTGAAGGGAATGTTTCAAGACTTCATAAATGCACATACTTGAATTGAATGTCAAATCATTGGGCTGCATCCACAAATCAGATTCTATGGAAATTTTATGCGCAAACATTCGTTGCGTTATTACAAATATTCGCTAATGCTTCAGAATGTGACCAAGAACTGGTCTTCCAAATACGGTTTTTTTGATCAAGACATATGTCTACATGGCCAAAATCAGTAATGGCATGATTACACATATTCATTTTAATACCGACAGTTGTGTAGTTC